ATGCCAGTTCAAGTCTTGGCTGCTCCACTTCCATTCTAGCTCTCTGCAATAGCCTGGGAAAGCAGTAAAAGATGGTCCAAGTCCTTGGGCCCCTGCACCCATGTGGGAGACCCGGAAGAAGCTCCTGGCCATTATGGCCATGGGGGGAGTGAACTAGCAGATGGAAGGAAGACATTTCTCTCTTTCTCTGCCTTTCCTTCTCTATGTAACTCTTTCAAATAAATAAAATCTTTAAAAAAAAAGAATGAAATTGATCAAATGAGATTCACTAATCCTGTAATTTAATTTGTAATCCTTTTCAAGTAGTGTATAGTTATGTTTTCGATTGGTAATTAATTTATGTTGCTGCTTTATGAGACTGTCTCCTCATTTCACACTGGATCAATAGTCTTTACTGGTGGCCAACACTGTGACACAGCAGATTAAGCCATGCTTGTAATGCTGCCATCTCTATGGTGGTCTTTGGGGACAATTGAACTGGGCATAACACATACAGAGATACAGGTCTTCCATGTGCTGGTTCACTCCCCAGATGGCCGCAATGGCTAGAGCTGAGCTGATCTGAAGCCAGTAGCAAGCAGCTTCCTCCAGGTCTCCCATGCAGGGGCAGGGGCCCAGGCACTTGGGCCATCCTCCACTGCTTTCCCAGGCCTCAAGCAGAGAGCTGGATTGGAAGAAGAGCAGCTGGGAAATGAACCAGCACTCATATGGGATGCCAGCACCATAGGTGGAGGCTCAGCCCCTAGGTATTTTTAAATCATTTTTATTGCATTTACTGTTTTATTTCTTCCACTATATGCAAGAGAAGTCATACTTTCATCGCTGAGTCCTGTGATTGCACACCTGAGCTGAATAAAGACCAAAACAGAAGAGCAGCGGACTCTACCTAGAGGTTTGTTAAGCAACTTGGTAATGGAGGACAATGAATGGCTCTATCACACTGTTTCCAGATGATATGGCTGGCTATAACTTTGGTAAAAGTATGACTGAATTTGAATCTGGGATAGTCAGAATAATTTACAGGGGATAGAACACATTACAGGAACACCTTCAGAATGTATAAATACCGGATTGGTGTACAGGTTAAGCTACCAATTACAATGCAAGCATTCTGTAGTGGCATGCTGGTTTGAGTCCTGGCTGCTCTGCTTCCAATCCAGCTTCTTGCTGGTTCACCTGGGAAGGCAGCAGAGAATGGTATGGATACTTCACCCCCTGCCACTGAAATGAGAGACCTAGATGGAGTTCCTAGATCCTGGCTTCAGTCAGGTCCAGCCCTGGCCGCTGGGGTCATTCGGGAAATGAATCAGCAGGCAGATCTCTTTTTCTCTTTCCTTTTCTCTGCCTCTCAAATAAGTAAATAAATCTTAAAAAACAAAATGCATAGCCGGCGCCGCGGCTCACTAGGCTAATCCTCCACCTAGCGGCGCCGGCACACCAGGTTCTAGTCCCGGTCGGGGAGCCGGATTCTGTCCCGGTTGCCCCTCTTCCAGGCCAGCTCTCTGTTGTGGCCAGGGAGTGCAGTGGAGGATGGCCCAGGTGCTTGGGCCCTGCACCCCATGGGAGACCAGGAAAAGCACCTGGCTCCTGGCTCCTGCCATCGGATCAGCGCGGTGCGCCGGCCGCAGCGCGCCGGCCACGGCGGCCATTGGAGGGTGAACCAACGGCAAAAGGAAGACCTTCCTCTCTGTCTCTCTCTCTCACTGTCCACTCTCCCTGTCAAAAAAAAAAAAAAAAAAAAAGCATAAACATGAATAAGGATGTGTGTGTTGCAGGGATGAGACAGTGGGAAGCCACGGAGCAATATGTTCAATGGACTCCCTTAGGGTATCCGGCCAGCTGGCAGTGATACACAGTGACCCCCAGTGGGCCTATCTGTACACTGTGACTCTGTTTCCTTAGACACAGCTGGCAGCTTCAGAGGACCTTCCTGTCCACTCTCAGGTATAAAGAATTCAGAACTGAAGATTTTAGTTTGGAATGGGCTGGTTTCCTAGAAAGAGATGTAAACACTAGAAGGCTATGAAGGTAGCCATCTCCTATCCCATTATCAGGGACACTGGCTCAAAGACAAGAACAAGGCGGAAATGCTGAAAACTGCATCAATTAGAGGGGGGTGGTGTCAAGTTTATAACGGTGTCTCAGGGCCTATTCCCGGCCCTTCTGGAAAAATACTACAGCACTCATACCCTAGGGATCTGCGAGTCCGGTCTGCCTACTTGCCGGTAACTGTTATGTTTTATGATTTTAGGGTTCAAAGAGGTGCAGAGACAATTAAGGCAGTAGACTTTATTTTAGAAAGGACATAATAGGTGGGGTTCAAGCCGGCGCCGTGGCTCACTAGGCTAATCCTCCATCTAGCGGCGCCGGCACACCGGGTTCTAGTCCCGGTTGGGGCGCCAGATTCTGTCCCGGTTGCTCCCCTTCCAGGCCAGCTCTCTGCTTTGGCCAGGGAGTGCAGTGGAGGATGGCCCAAGTGCTTGGGCCCTGAACCCCATGGGAGACCAGGAGAAGCACCTGGCTCCTGCCTTCGGATCAGTGCAGTGCTCCGGCTGTAGCGCGCCGGCTGCGGCGGCCATTGGAGGGTGAACCAACGGCAAAGGGAAGACCTTTCTCTCTGTCTCTCTATCCACTCTGTCAAAATAATAATAATAATAATAATAATAATAATAATAGGTGGGGTTCAGTTCACCCTGACAGAGGGCAGGGGTTTGAAGTCAGGCTCCATGCTGCTCAGGCAGCGGGCAGAGTTCCTTCTGGGGCTGCTTGTTGGGGGAGGTCATAGGGACGCTGAAAGTGTCATGTGGACCCTAATAAGGCGGGTGCTGGATGTGCATAAAGACTCATTGGTAAAGTTTACAACGTATTGTCTTAAAGGTTTGGAATGTCCTAGGTGAGGGGCTTTGCTGGGTGATAACAATTCCACCAGTCTGGATTGTCTATCTGTGCCCAGTTTCCTCAGGTTCGGGGCTAACTAACAACTGGTGCTTCAGTGGGCTAACAGGTTCTAACAATGACAAGTGCCTCTTGTGCTGAAATTAAATCAACTTGCTTTTGTACTATTTGCAGCTGGCAAGTACTGATTAACAATGGAAGTACCGTAATTGCATCTCTCTGTGCACCTTAGTGTGTATTTATGTGCATGTTCTCGCATTAGTGTGGAAGGCAGATGTCCACAGCATCAGTCACTCATCTCTAAAATCTCATGCCCTACCTCTGTTTCTTCTTCTGCATAACCCCTTCACTTTTCACCTTACTCTGAGCGATCTAAAATGCATTTCCCCTTCACACCATGGAAGCCAAGCTCCTCAACAAACACTTAATGAGGACCCACTGTGTCTTTATTATTTAAAATATAATAATCTTTAACAAGGCTCCTCTACGTGCTATGACCCACCGGGCAAGCCATTTTAGGTACTAGGGATATATACCTAGAAGAGAATGAGTCTGGACTCTCATGGAACTTACATTCCAGGGGTACAATCATGCTGGTTTCCTCACCAGGTAATATGAGAGAAATAACACAGGAGGTGACAGAAGCCAGGGAGGGAGTATTCTTTTAGGATGGGCAGGCAAGACTGAGGGAAGGAATTTATGATGGGGAAATCCCAGCCAGACCCTGTGGGGCAAGAGCATTCCTCACCGAGGAAACAGAAAATGAAACAATCCTTAGGCACGGACCCACAAGGCAGCAGAGGGTGGCAGTCATCAAAACAGGCAGGAGTCAAATCAGATTAGGACATGGGGTGAACTCTAGGTCAGGTTAAGGGGTTGTTCTGTGAGTGATGTATCACATTTACTTTATTTATATATATATACATATACATATACATATATATATATATAAGATCATTCTGGCTACTGTGCAGGTTTGCCTGTATGAGGCAGCAGAAGCCAGGCAAGCAACAGTCCAGGCAGGAGATGGTGGTGGCTGAGGCCTGGATGGTAGTAACGGAGGAGGGGGCGAGAAGTGCTCAGGTGCAAGATAAGACAACTGGCTGACACATCAGAAGGCTGGTGGGGGCGGGAGAGAGGGCCTAAGCACCTGGTGAAGGGAAGGCGGAGGGCTGGTAGGTGAGGAGATAGGCAGTATGCGGGTGAGTGTGGAGGAAATAGTCGCAGCCAGAGACAAGAAAAGCAGAACTCCCTTCCTCCCATCACAAACCTTGAAAAGTGGCGGCTTGAAACTAAATCCCCCCCCCCCCCTTTTATCTAGTCTAGGGAGGGGAGATGTCCGGAAGTTCTGCTTCTGTAAACTCCACTCTAACAAATCTCTCCCTGGTATTTCTTACAAACATCCAAGACCCACCAACCATTGGAAGTGTGGTCTCAAGTCACACAGGCTGCCATTTAAACGCACCAACGCTGTAACAGCTAAGGCACGATGCTGATAAACCTATAACTACTTTAAGGAACTTCAGTTTGAGGCTCAGTTCTCAGGAAATGATTCCAGCTGAGCCCGCGGGCATTAATAAACTGAATCCTCCACTCTGTCTGCCTGTTTGGACCAAGGGAGTTTTCCCACTCCACGTTTCTGTAACAGCAGGACCTGGTCTGAGCCTGGCACCCAGGAGTTCCACAAGAAGTGGAGGGAAGCAGCAACTCAACAGACCCACAGACGGCTCAAGTGGAGCGCCCAGCAAGGCTGGAAGGCAGTCCTGCGAACCTCTGGGCTGCGCCTCGAGCTCCCCACGTCTAATGGGGCTTTAGGGCGGTTTTCCTGGGCGTTTCCAGTTTCGCACTCAGAGGGACGGAAACGAAAGCCACCCCCATCCCCCTGCTCACGAAGCCCCAGGCCACAGCTACAGTCACCTAGGAACTGGCTGCGGGCTGCGCACCGCTGCTCCGACCCCTGGGGCGCACGAGTTCGCAGCCAAGTTCACCCCGCGCCGCCCAGCGGCTGGGCCCAGCGGGGTCTGCAGGTCCCGGCCCCCAAGGAGAGCAGGCCCGCCCGCCCCAGGCCCCGGCCCCTCAGCGCGGCCGCCCGGCTTGGTACTCACCTGCAGGCCGGGGGAGCGCGCCCTGCACCTCGGGGCTGCTGCCGCTTCCCAACTTCGGCCAGAGATAAGACGCTTGGGCCATTGCGCCCAGGCGAGTCGGCGGCCCGACGGCTGCGCGCTCCGCTGCGCTCCCGGAAGTGCCCTGCGGCGTCGGGCCGCGTTTTGTGCAATCACGGCCAACGCCCCCCCGGAAAGGTGGGACGGCTGGTTCGGCGGGGGGGTCCCCTAGTGCGCCTCCCTAGGTCCGAATCTTAACTGCAAGAGCTTCAAACAAACGGAGGAACATGCACCCCGCCGGGCCGGTGGGCTCGGCGCTCTTCCGAGGCTATTCCTCCTCAGGAGTCGCATACCTACTGACACGCCTTGAGTCAGAGAATTAAGCAACCCTAAATCCAGTTGCCAGTAGCCAGCCTTTATTTAGCACCCATGGGGTACAGAGCACCATACAAGGTGAGGTTTTCAGTGCATATAACAAATACACATACAGACCCAAAGTTCATGTAACGAAATTATAACTTAAAAGTTGTTCTGAAAAAGCAGCATGTTCATGTAATCGTCGGTGATTTGCTAAAAATCTTTGGAGGTCTTGCACTTTGAGGAGGTTCCAAGTAGGGGGGGGGGGAGTGAAGATTGTGCAGAGCAGAACTAAGAGACATTGTTAAATTAATATTTAAAAGGGCAACATAGATGGTCTTGACAAATATGAAATGGATGACGGAATCAAGAGAGTGGTGGCTGCAATAGGGGTAATGAGCAGACCCGGAAGCCCAAGCTTCTGTCCTTCAGGCAGGGAAATGAAGAGTACTCCTTGCCAGGCCCTGAGGACACTGGCCTTAGCAGATTCCCCAGCAAAACAACTAAACAGTTCATGGCAAAGCAGTCAAAGAGCTTTTTCCCACAATTAAATGCCGGTGGACTAAGATCACGAACTCTGAGGAAAGCCTGTAACATGAATGATAAAGACCAAACAACACATGGAACCCCCACAAAGAAAGGAAACTGACAGGACACAGAAGATGTAGCAAAAACAAAACATGCACAAACACACACACACACACATAATGAAGAGAAAATACTGCAACCATGGACCCAAGATGGGGTGCTAGTAAAAAAAAAAAAAAAAGGCTCTTAGGAATTATAAGTGAGGCCAGAATCAACTACAACAGGTACTTTGAAGATGTAGCTGAGAAAGGGTCTCCCAGAGTGGAGCAGGAAGACAAACTGGAAATTGAGAGAAAGATAAGCAGTCCTCCAGGTCTCACATCTGGAAACAGGAATTCCAGAGAGTTAAGAAATCATTGAAAAATAGATCAAGAAAATTTCCTTGGAGGAAAAAAACTTTCAGATTCAAAGACTTCACCAAGATAAAAATGGACAATTCCCAGCTTCAGGAGGTTAGGACAAGGATAAGCCTATAAGCTTCAAAAGATGTAAGAATTCTATACTCTGCTGAAATAGCAATCAAGTTATGAGGGTAAAGGCATTTGAAAATATTTAGAATCCTAAAAACATTTACTTCACATTTTCCTTTTCAAAAGCTACTGGAGGATATACTTCACCAATTCATGAGAGTAAAGGAAAAAAATTGGATTTAACTGGTAATAGCTCTGGAATGAGACAAAGGGAATCTTATCTAGTAGAAGACGATGGCTGTGAACCAGTCCGGACTGAAGCAGAACAATTCAGCAGAAATGTCTCTAAGAGGATGAAATTGACAGAATACCTTGTTTCTGAATATCAAATGACTGAAGGCAGATCTCAAGGAAATGCTGGCTGTTACAAGAGCAGCCCTCTGCACAAAAATATTTCCCATATAGATGAAGTTTTTTCACTTTATTGTAGTACACTGCTTAATTTCATCTTTACTGTGAATAGACAGACTTTCAACCATCCACATCTGTCTGCAGGCCGTTTCTAGGGTTACAGTTTATTTTGGTGCTTTTCTTAGAACTTTGGATTCCCATTCTCTCAAACAATTTTAGGTAATTTTTCATCTAGTCCACTATTTTTAAGAAATTAATTTAGGTCCAAATTAAAGGTAACTAAACCCAGAGTCAAGTCCAAAAACAAAAACATACGAATGCTCAGCAATCAGAATTATTTTTGATAACTACATCTCAAACTATTATTCCCTTTCTGGTTCTGAGGGGGAAGTTCGTTGCAGCCAAATGTACAGTTTTCGTAAGGACAGAATTCATTTTGACTTTTGGAGCTGCCTAATCCCCTTTTCCATTGGATGATCAAGGCGAGGTAACCCCTAGCAAAGTGCTGACTCCCGCTTTCTCTAGAAAAACTATCTGCAAATTATACCCAAGAGATACCAAGAGTCTGCTTCAGATGCTGAAGCCCAGATGTGTTGTGTTTCCTTCTGGTCATGAAGTAAAATTCTTGCCCAGCATGATTCCTTCTGACATAAAGAAGCTAAGTTTGACTGGTTTCTGGGTTTCCTTTTATTACAGCTTCATTCTACCTAGAACAAAATATTCTAGTCCTCTAAGTAGCTATTCCCACTTCTGCTGTCTGTCTGGAGTGAAGAGACTAGATATTATGGAAAAGCAGATGCACAGCTCAAAGATTCTGCTGGAACCTTACTTTCCAATAGTTGATGGCGAAGTGTTTTATGGAGCCAGCAGTGGCTTCTCCAAAAAATATTAAACTACTTGGGAGTATATGCATAAGATTAGTTCTTACATATTGCTCAGGCTCTGTTGTCCACCTTGCAACTCATAATGATAAATGGTTTGCCAAAAATTAAACATCACCTTTGTAAGTAAAGAAGTAAATTTGACCCTTTGGGGCAAGAACTAAAAGATAAGAATCACAAAAACAATTAGAAACACCTGCATTCTATTGTGCCTTTTGTTTCTTAATATATAATTTATAAATAAATTAAAAGTTGTACAGTAGTATTTCATATAAAATATACACATCCATTTTACTCATGTAAATTTTAACAACAGTAAAAACAAGAAATACCCTATGCATATGAAAATGTCCTTTTTGTTCCTGGCAATTCTAAGTCATACAAATAAAATTAGAAATAAACATGAACCCTTTGAATAGGGGTTTCAGAGAAGAAATACTTAGGTAGACTTTACCCTAAATTAATTCCATTGGTGGCTAAAGGTTCTTTTGTCTGCCCCCAATTAGCCTGACAGGTAATTTAATGAATAGGTATTAGCAACATATTCATAGTATTTTTTTTCTACACTTGTTAACCCCACAATGGCAGATGATTTCCTTCTCAGGTACAGTTCCAGCTTCATAACCATAATCCCAGGTTAGTTCTGTTCTTGCTTTCACATACCTAGAAATTAGAAATTAAAAAGGAGTCATAATTTACCCTAAAAAACTACCAAATAAAACAGAATTGATTATATCAGTTTTCATATCAACATTATTAATTATCTTCAGAAATATGACCCTCTCCCCCATACCTACCAATTAGGAATAATCTTTTATTAACCCATTTGCCTCAGGTTTTCAATTCTGTGAATATCTCAATGATACAATATTTATTTCAAAGTTACTATAAGTGCTATATTTATTGCTCAATTTCACTTTATAAGCGCCCTTTACATAGCATGATAGGCTATAATGGGTAAGAATAATCATCTGAATTTTACTTCAAATCCACCAAAATTCTAAGGAATTTGCCAATATTCATGAGGAAGGGAGTGTGTTTTGCAGGCATTGATTCTAGTTGAGAATAAGAACTGAAATTTTTAGTGTTCACAATTTTATTGACTGGGAATACTTGAGAATAATTAAATGTTCTAGGGTACCAAATATGTGGGGCTTTGGTGGTACACATTTCCCTTTTGTATCTTTTATTATTATTATTATTATTTTTTTTGACAGGCAGAGTGGATAGTGAGAGAGAGAGACAGAGAGAAAGGTCTTCCCCTTTGCCGTTGGTTCACCCTCCAGTGGCCGCCACGGCTGGCGCGCTGCGGCCGGCGCACCGCGCAGATCCGAAGGCAGGAGCCAGGTGCTTCTCCTGGTCTCCCATGGGGTGCAGGGTGCTAGCACTTGGGCCATCCTCCACTGCCTTCCCCAGAGAGCTGGCCTGGAAGAGGAGCAACCGGGACAGAATCTGGCACGCCGACCGGGACTAGAACCCGGTGTGCCGGCGCCGCTAGGTGGAGGATTAGCCTATTGAGCCACGGCGCCGGCCAATCTTTTTTTTTTTTTAATTTACTTATTTATCCAAGAGACAGAGAGGCACAGAGAACTCCCATCTGCTGATTCACTTCCCAAATGCCCATATGGCTGAACTGGGCAGAAGCTGGGAGCCAAGAGCAAGGAACTCAATCCAGGTTGCCCATGTGGCTGGCAGAAATCCAACTACTTAAGTTATCATTAATCCCTCCCAAGATCTGCACTGGCAGGAAGCTGAAATCAGAAGCCATGTGGGGTTGAACATACATGGGGACACAGGTATTCTAATCAGTGTTTTAACCACTAGGCCAAAGGTACAATGGTTTTTATTTTTGAAGTCATAATTTCAGAATCAAATCCCATAAGCAAAATTAATTTCAAACCTGTTGGTGAAGAATGCCACCAATGGAAAATTCCTGTCGTGTGTTTCTACAAAAACATTCTGTACCAAGAGATTTGGGCAACAACTATGCTGTTAAAAAAAAATTCAACACAAAGGTTAGATATAGCATAACGATTGATGCCTTATGCTTTAAAGCATTAGAATATCATCCTTTTCTAACATACCTCACTGATTTTGCTTTTTTTTATCTAATATAAAAAATAGCATATTATAACAGTTCTATTAACACAGGAAACTATTCAGAAAAGCCCTGTTCTAAGAATCTTAAATCTTGCTGTTGGAAATTAAAAATGGTACAAATCTCTATACAAGATAATTTGTTAGGTTTTATCATTATTATAAATGTATTTATCTTGATTCAGCAATCCTACACCTAGGATGTAGTTCAGTGATTTGTCTACATATGTATCTGCATGTAAGATTTTGCACTGAGCATTAGAAGTTTGGAAATGACCCTAATGTCTGCTTGTAGAAGATCGGTTAAATAAACTTCGGTACACCCACACAATGGATTCTATGCAATTATAAACAAAGATATACAAACAAAAATAATGAGTTCTTTCTCTAAGTAGTAATAAGGAAAGACCTTCAGGATATACTATTCATGTAGGACAGTTAATATGCTTTTATATTAAAAAGGGGAAATAGGAGATATTTATATTTATTTGTATCTGCAGAACATAACACTAAAGGAATGCAGAAGAAAAGTAATAAAAATTATTATCTAGAGCAGGAGAAGTTGGGGGTAGGGTGAATAGGGGCATAAAACTTCTCAAGGTATGACTTTTATTTTTAACAAAACTTTCAAAGAAAAGTTTAAGATGAACAACGTACACAACAACTCAACTTTCACATCACAGTCAAAAATAGGGCCTTTGAAGTGGAGACATGTATAATTAATTGATTTCTCTGCTAAATAAACACTGCTGCTATTTATCTTCATACCAAGGCTTCTAACATGATGGTACTACCTCCTCATATGAGCACTATTTCAGTATTGTTCTGTTGCTCACTAGCTGCCACCTCACATTCATCTATTGCCACATTAATAAAGAGATCACTTCTCCACATATTCCTTGGCTATGTCTGCTACCATTTAATTTCAATGACAACTTCCTGTCTCTAAATTTTTTTTATTATTTATTTAATTTATTTGAAAGAGTTACAGAAAGAGGCAGAGACAGAGAGAGAGGTCTTCCATCTGCTGTTTCACTCCCCAGATGGCTGCAGCAGCCGGAGCTGCGCCGATCTGAAGCCAGGAGCTTCTTCCCAGGTCTCCCATGTGGGTGCAGGGGCCCAAGGACTTGTGCCATCTAATACTGCTATACCAGGCCACAGCAGAGAGCTGGATTGGAAGAGGAGCAGCTGGGACTCGAACTGGCGCCCATATGGAACGCCGGAGCTTCAGGCCAGGGCTTTAACCCACTGCACCACAGCGCTGGCCCCTCTAAATGTTTTTTAACTTGGGCAGGTGAGCTTGAAAATGCTTTATATATATATATATATATATATATTTTTTTTTTTTTTTTTTTTTTTGACAGGCAGAGTGGACAGTGAGAGAGAGAGACAGAGAGAAAGGTCTTCCTTTGCCATTGGTTCACCCTCCAATGGCTGCTGCGGCCTGCGCACCGTGCTGATCCGATGGCAGGAGCCAGGTACTTATCCCGGTCTCCCATGGGGTGCAGGGGCCCAAGCACTTGGGCCATCCTCCACTGCACTCCCTGGCCACAGCAGAGAGCTGGCCTGGAAGAGGAGCAACCGGGACAGAATCCGGCGCCCCAACCGGGACTAGAACCCGGTGTGCCGGCGCCACTAGGCGGAGAATTAGCCTAGTGAGCCGCGGCGCTGGCCGAAAATGCTTTATATTTAAATACCTGTTCTTACATATCACTTCTTACGGATTTTATTTTAGTTTAGTTTAGTTTAGTTTTTTTTGGTATCTTAAATTTGATGTGAGGGGCTGGTGCTGTGGCATAGCAAATAAAACCGCTGCCTGAAGTGCCAGCATCCCATATGGGCACCAGTTCGAGTCCTGGCTGCTCCACTTCTTTTCTTTTTTTTTGACAGGCAGAGTGGACAGTAAGAGAGAGAGACAGAGAGAAAGGTCTTCCTTTGCCGTTGGTTCACCCTCCAAATGGCCGCCGCGGCCGGTGCACTGTGCTGATCTGAAGTCAGGAGCCAGGTGCTTTTCCTGGTCTCCCATGTGGGTGCAGGGCCCAAGAACTTGGGCCATCCTCCACTGCACTCCTGGGCCACAGCAGAGAGCTGGCTTGGAAGAGGGGCAACCGGGACAGAATCTGGCGCCGCAGGCGGAGGATTAGCCTATTGAGCCGCGGCGCTGACCCTGCTCCACTTCTGATCCAGCTCTCTGCTATGGCTTGGGAAAGCAGTACAAGATGACCCAAGTCCTTGGGTCCCTGCACCCGTGTGGGAAACCTGGAAGAAGCTCCTGGCTCCTGGTTTTGGATAGGCACAGCTCCAGCCATTGCGGCCACTTGTGGAGTGAACTAGCAGATGGAAGACCCCTCTCTCTCTCTGCCTCTCCTTCTCTCTCTATGTAACTCTTTCAAATAAATAATAAATCTTAAAAAAAAATTTTTGATGTGAAATATATATATATGTACATATATACACCTAATTTGTTTATGTTATGGCATGCTATCATAACCAGAATGCCTCTGAAGATTTTTAAATTTGAAAAACATCGGGGGCCGGTGCCATGGCTCTACTAGGTTAATCCTCCGCTTGTGGTGCCAGCATCCCATATGGGAGCCGGGTTCTAGCCCTGGTTGCTCCTCTTCCAGTCCAGCTTTCTGTTGTGTCCCGGGAAGGCAGTGGAGGATGGCCCAAATGCTTGGGTGCCTGCATCTGCATGGGAGACCAGGAAGAAGCACCTGGCACCTGGCTTCGGATCAGTGTAGTTCCGGCCGTAGCGGCCATTTGAGGGGTGAATCAATGGAAGGAAGACCTTTCTCTCTGTCTTTCTCTCTAACTCTGTCAAAAAAAAATTAAAAAAAATTTGAAAAACATCAAGACAGAGTGATGTATAAATATATATCAAGAGAGAGAGCGAAAGAGAGATGGAGATCTCCCATCCACCGGTTACTCCCCAAATACCTAAAACAGTCAGACGAGGCTAGGACAAAGCCAGTAGCCCAGAACTCCGTTCAGGTTTCCCACGTGCGTGGCAGGGACTCAAGTATCTGAGCCATCACCAGCTGCTTCCCAAGGTGCACATGAGCAGGAAGCTGGAATTGAAATGGAGCTAGGATTTGAACCCAGGCACTATGATATGGGATGTAGGCATCCTAAGAAACAGCTTAATAGTTGTGCCAAATGTCTGCTCCCTTACAATTTTGTAGAGCAAATGCCTACTATGTACTATTTAAGCACTTTATTATTAATTCTTCTGGTCCTTACAACATTCTGAGAAAGTTATTATTATTACTATCATCATCTTCATCATCATCAAGGAGTGAAGCGAAGGACTGAGAGGCACACCTATCCACAGGGATTCAGTGGAGTCCTGGAACTCAAACTCAGGCAGTCTGGTTTTAGAAATGTTAATCATATTTTCCTCACGGTTTTGTTAAGAAGGATAGAAAAAAAAGTTGTTGAGATGTGAATCTCAGCTCCTATACTTACGTTAAGGAAGCGGCCCACATTTCCTTCTTTTGTGGCATCCAATAAAAACATATTCTCTTTACTGAACTTTGTTGGAGAATCAGATGAAGTGCTCTTGGTTTCACTTGGCAACTCATCAACACAAAAGAGCTGCTGATTTTGATATGTTGTAGATTTTTTCATTTGGGGCTTCTGTATTTGAACCTCATTTTTAGTATTTTGATTAATCAATGTAGTTGTTTGGTTACATCCGTCCCTTGGTGGAGTCTCTTCTGAACATTTAGTTATATCTATCACATCTGATTCAATCAGAGGATTCTCTTCAGAATCTTCAACTTGTTTTGAACTTGACTCTTCTAACAGACATTTTAGAAGGAATTATCAGAAAATACACTTGGCTGATCAATAGTGGTGAGACTAACAATATTAATTAGATGCTAGTTGCCTTAATTATCATTAAACCTTACAATATTACTAAATAGGCAATATCACTTTAATTTCACAAATGAAAACACTGAATCTCTGAGGGGTTAGGGATTTGTCTGACCCACAATAATGGAAATGGAGGTAATAAACCCAGAAATGTTTGCATCCCAAAGTCAATGCCTTTTTATGAATCTACATGTTGTGTCCTTCCTCATTATTATATTTTCCCCCTTTTTAAAAATTTATTTTAAGATTTAATAATTTTTAACATTTTGCCATATTCATTTCATATGTAGATATTATATATACAGGCACATAGATACTATTTTTTTCCTGAGAACAGGGATATTAGTTATCACATAATATGGGATTTGTGACAATGATCACAAAACAAGGAAAGACGGGTATATTGACATGCGGATGGTATAATTCAGTGAACACAGTATTTATAACAATCTAAATACCAAAGGACAAATAATATAGGCTTCACTGGCCATAGAATCTCTGTTGTCTATTCAAGTATGTTGTTCTAACATGAAAGTAGAGACAGTATATAAAGGAATGGCTGTGGCTATGTTGCAATAAACCTGTTTATGGACACTGAAATTGTAATTTCATATAATTTCCAAGTATCTTAAAAATATTATTCACCTTCTGATTTTTTCAGCCACTTAAAAATGTACAAATCATTCTTAGCTCCCAGGCCATACTGAATAGGCAGTAGGCTGGATTTGGCCCTGGTTTGTTAATCTCTGATTCAGATAAGCTGTAACTTTTATGACAAATGAGCTTGTTGGTGATGGATTCTGAGAAAGTGAGTCTCAGGTGTTGAACAAAGAGAGACAAACAAGCAGAAGATGAAGGCAATCAGAGGGAAACAAAGCCTACTTTGCACTCTGCCGACTCTGGAGTTCAGATATTCTTGGTTTGGTTTAAATCCATCACTACCCTCCAAGGAGACAGATTCCGAGGAAACAAATCCCTTAAAAGAAAACAAAGAAGATGTTTTTATTTTCTAAGTCAGGAAATAGTATTTAGCATTTTACCTCTTTCACCAAGTATTGATCTTCATAGGCCATATGTACTAGATTAGTTTTGAAAGCCTTCAAAGCTGGTATCATGGAGTCTTTAAACTAACAGAGCCAATATGTGTCACCCATTTTGCCTATATTCTACTTTTAGGCACTTTATTAAGCCATAGCTTCAGAGACTGTTGAGAAATTATTTAGGCATATAAATCCAAATACATGTGTCTGTATCCCTCAAGTTGAATCATCCTACATACACGTTGATACTGGATTATAAATTTGTTTTCAACTGTAAGTTGTGCAATGATAAAACTATTTACTGGCTAGTTTCTACTTCAAAGGTTAAAGTTGCTTGTCTTCTTGTATTGTAAATATTGCAAACACTTTAAATGGTAACGTTAAGTTTTAAAGAGCATATACTTAGCATACACCTAACTGCCCAAGAGATGCTGATTATTAAATACTGACCAATAAAAAGAACTTGACTAATAATGGTCAACATTCAATAAGCACTTAGTTGACTGCCAAGCATTATGCTAAGCAAGGTATGAAATGTTTCTCATTTAAGCCTCATAATTCTGAAATAGATATGGTAACCTCCTTATTTAACAATAAAAGGACTATAATCACAGAGATGGGACCCAGCTAGCAAGCAGCAGAGCTAGAGCTTAAACAGTGGTCTATGTGACCCCATGGCCTATGTGACTCTTTTTGTAAAGAGGTGATACTGAAGAGGAACTTCCTGTATTGTTACCAGGCAGAGGACAAATATTTGCAAGACATCTATAGCCATTTTGATCTTTCATCAATAAATACTACTGTAAGCTTCCATTATGTCTGTCTTTGTTACCTTCCTGTATCCTTCTCTGCTTCTGAGTTTCAGTCTCTTACTACTTAAACCTCAGTTCAGATTGAAAAATGTACCCTCAGAAACTACTACATAAATTACTGGGGCCAGCACCGTGGCACAGTAGGTTAATCCTCCACCTGCGGTGCCAGCATCCCATATGGGCACTGGTTCTAGTCCCAGCTGCTCCTCTTCCAATCCAGCTCTCTGCTATGGCCTAGGAAAGCAGTATAAGATGGCCCAAGTCCTTGGGCCCCTGAGCCCACAAGGGAGACCAGGAAGAAGCACCTGGCTCCTGACTTCGGATTGGTACAGTTCCAGCCATTGTGGCCATTTGGGGAGTGAACCAACGGAAGGAAGACCTTTCTCTCTGTCTCTCCCTCTCATTTTCTGTAACTCTACCTCTCAAATAAATAAATACAATCTTTTAAAAAAATAAATAAATTATTGCTTTCTGGATGATTTTTTCATCAAGTTGCATCTTTTCTTTCTCCTTCCCCTAAATTATCCCATCCTTTTTCTTACATATCACTATTAACTCTTGAACACTGTAGCATCTCACACACTCTCAGAACTGTGTAACTCTCAGGCTTAGAGGCACAGATGGTCAGATCATTGCCCACACACCAACCACCATGGTCCATTAACTGTTCACCCATTAGAAAACTATAAAATAAATCCTATGCACTATTAAGTAACACTAACATGTTGAACTAAGTAAGGGATAGAAAGGTGAGATAACAGTGAATGTTCTCAGAAAAAACAATCTTCATTTTCCAATTTTTACCATCTTTTTCTCATTGTGTTGAAAAACAGCTGTCTTGGATTTAGGACTTTTAGTAACTGAATGATACGGAGTTCCTGAGATGTTGTTGCACTTTGTTTCCCTGAAAAGGAGAAAAAAAAAGTTATTTTGTGCATCACTAAAAACTGTATTTATTAGACCCTCAAGTAATGATATCACTATTATATAATTATTTTAGAAATTAATTTAAGAAATCTATGCCAATCTCTATAACTTTTTAAGTATGTTCAAAAGTGAAGAGAATCTATGAAAGTTTTGCAAACAGAATGGTGACAGAAAGTAACAGTAAAACTTACAAAGAATTAGATTAAAGTCATACAAGGTAGAACTCTAGAAAAGGAACACTGAGGATGGTTAGATTTTTAAATTTAAGTGTCCTGGATTTCTGAAAACACTGCATTTACAACCATGGAACATGATGATAATAGGGTGAGGGGAAAGGCAAGCAAGCAAGAAATGAGAAAGAACCATAATCAATAATAATTTAAGTTACTAAATTATTTTTTTTAAACTCTTATTTAATGAATATAAATTTCCAAAGTACGACTTATGGATTACAATGGCTTCCCCCCCCATACCGTCCCTCCCACCCACAACCCTCCCCTTTCCCACTCCCCCTCTCCTTCCATTCACATCAAGATTCATTTTCGATTATCTTAATATACAGAAGATTATTAATAATAATCAATAATAATTTAAATTAACATTGATGGGACCCCTAGGCTCTTACTTACATAATAGACTCTTTGGAATTATTACTGAATTTAGGTGAACAGTCCTCACTTTCAGCACTTCTAGGATGTGTTTCCAATTCTAATGGAATAACTTCAACCTCACACTCTGAACAGGCAACTTCTATTTTCCTCTTTTTTGAAAATATACTTTTCACAATATTCTCTTCTTTTTCATTTTCATTACCAGGTTTCTCAAAGTTAGCTCTGCTTAGTAATCTACCTAAAAAAACAAAGCAAGAGTTTGAACAAAATGGAAGATAATATAATTGGTAACACAAATGGACATCTCTATTTTTGCTCCATTACTAAAGAACGCTATTTCTACCTCATTTCTAAAATGGATAAACACATTTACTCACTCTAGAAAACTTGAGTAGGATAACAAGACGAATGAAGGGCTTCTTGTTTTCTAACATATAAAAAAAATACAGGGTATCTAAAAGAAGCTCTTGTCTATTTTGGTATAAAATGAAAGGGAAGACACTTAGCTACAATAACATAAAACAAAAGTAGTAGGATTAGAAAGTATTTTAGGGGCCGGCACTGTGGCTCACTTGGTTATCCTCCGCCTGTGGCGCCGGCATCCCATGTGGGCGCCGGGTTCTAAGTCCTCGTTGCTCCTCTTCCAGTCCAGCTCTCTGCTGTGGCCCGGGAGGGCAGTGGAGGATGGCCCAGGTGCTTGAGCCCTGCACCCCATGGGAGACCAGGAGGAAGCATCTGGCTCCTGGCTTTGGATCGGCGCGGCACTGGCCATAGCGGCCATTTGGGGAGTGAACCAGTGGAAGGAAGACCTTTCTCTCTGTCTCTCTCTCACTGTCTATAACTCTACCTGTCAAATAAATAAAAATAAAAATAAAGTATTCTACAAAATTAGATGAATTCTGGTCTTAAAATTATAGCTTTATCTAGTGAAAAAGGCTTTATGAAACCTACATTTGTTTTTAGAAAATGACATACTTGAATAGATGGTGATATCTGCCCATTGTTCTGCCTAATAGTAAAATTTTAGCCTGAAATTTATGCATTTTCTTTCAATGGGCTCAGAATCATAGCTGGATAAAAGTCTTATCCATCATTATGAGGTTAAGAGAGACACCACTGGTGTATTTTCTAGCAATGCAGATAAAGCCAATGACACCTTCTAGACATCATTCAGCATTTTATAGGCAGCTTTCACACAAGAGTTTTTCTGAGAGATATTAGGAAAGTTTAGGCAGGCTGTCTGGCATACTGTCTGTGAGCATGTGAGGAAGACCCAAAGGTGACTACTCTACATTCTGAAAACTTTGAGCTTAACTTCCCTGAGGAAACCTTGGCTCTATCTGCAAGGAGGAGAGTTGCTTCAGTACCTGCTCCTTAGCCGTCAGGACTAAGTCCATCACATTTCTTACACATTGGCTCTAAAGTCATGTTTCCGAAATCTTCTCACTTAATGGTGAGCAGAGAAAATGAGGATTTAGGGGAAAAAAAAGATTACTGGGGCCAGAACTGTGGTATAGTGAGTTAACCTGGGGTCTGCAGTGCTAGCATTCCATATGAGCACTGGTTTGTGTCCCGGCTGCTCCACTTTCTGATCCAACTCCTTGCTAATGGCCTGGAAAAGTTGCGGAAGATGTCCGAAGTACCTGGGCCCCTGCTATCCACTTAGGAGACTGAGAAGAAGCTCCTGGCTTCTGATTTTGGCTTGGGCTGGCCTGGCCCAGTCCTGGCTGTTGTGGCTATCTGCAGATGGAACCAGCAGACAGATCTCTCTACATCTCTCCCTCTCTCTTAAAAAAAAAAAAAAAAAAAAAAAAAAAAGACGGGGCCGTCGCTATGGTACAGTGGGGTTAAAGCCCCAGCCTAAAGTGCTGGCATCCCATACGGGCACCAGTTCGAGTCCCTGCTGCTCCACTTCTGATCCAGCTCTCTGCTATGGCCTGGAAAAGCAGTGGAAGATGGCCCAAGTCCTTGGGCCCCTGCACCTACGTGGGAGACCTGGAAGAAGCTCTTGGCTTCCGATTGGCCCAGCTCCAGCCATTGCAACCATTTGGGGAGTTAACCAGTGGAAGGAAGACCTCTCTTTCTCTGTAACTCTTACTTTCAAATAAATAAATAAATATTAAAAAAAGAGTTTCATTTATTTTACATGAATGCAGAGTTACAGAGCAGTTGGGGGGAGGGGGTGGGAAAGGAAGAGAGAGAATCTTGTACCTGCTGGTTCACTACCCAAATGGCTGCAATGCCCACGGCTGGGTCAGGCCAAAGTCTGAAGAGAGGAGCTTCATTCGGGTCTCCCATGTGGGTGGCAAGGCCCAACCCAGGACCTGGGTTTGGGTCCTTTCTTTGGTCCCTATTCCAGTTTCCCACAAATGCGGAACCTGAGAGGCAGCAGTGATGGCTGATGTGACTGGTTTCCTGCACCTATCGGGAGACCTGGATTGTGTTCCCAGGCCCTGGCTGACCCCCACTCAGGCCCAGCCATTGCAGGCATTTAGAGTGAAGTCGTGAATGGGAGCTCTGTCTCTCTGTATCTCTCAAAAAAACAAAAAAAAAGGTTTTTTCCTTTACCCCAAAACTACAGAGGCAAAAATAATGTGCCTTGTACATGACATAACCTAAATTTTATCTCTTTCTTTTCTAGAACATTTGGTACCCCCTAAGGCATCTCATCCCTTCAGTGCTCAAGTTCTCAGTTGCTGGCCTTCCTGTGTTGTGCCTCCAAGATATTGTTCATCTCACCAATGATCTCAGTGGTCCTGACTAGGAAGACTGATAGTCAGAAATGTAGATCCCACTGTAGACTAATATGAAAATAAGTCTTTGCTTTACCTGAGTAAGTGCAAACAAATGTCCCTCTGTCAATGTCATCTAGGCAGCGTACCCCCCAGCCTTTCTTCTCAGTTTTGAAAACCTGTAGTCTCACTTGAGGACCATGTTGGACAACTCGATTTTGACACATTTGTCGATTACACTTGCACAACAGGCTGCATTCATAAATACTGTCAATAAAATATGTAAGAGAAAAGCAATCAGATATCCTAAAAAAGTAAAAAGCTGTCTATATGGTTACTTGAATGGCACCAATAAGGGATGCAGACTAAGTGGGCAAGCTCTTGGTGCTAGACTGCCTGAGTTCCCATCAGAGTTTGCACATCTACTAGCTGTGTGACCCTGGTAAGTTATTTAACTTCTCTGAGCTGTAATTTCCCATCTTTAAAATGGGGACTATACGAAAGAATCTATTTTATAGGGCTGTCTCATGCAGATTAAGTGACTCAATATTTATAAGGTACTTAAGACAATGTCTGGTACATAGTAAATATTAGCTGTTTTTAAATAACTTGGAAAAAAGTCTATGAAGAAAAGTTTTGTATTTCTGCTAATAAAAGTATTGTTACTTGTTAATATCAACTTTGAAAGGGAGAGGATTCCCAATTCTCAGAAGGGCTTCACACATACTTTCCTTAATGGGGAAATGGTTGCCTAAAGTGGGCTGACTGTAGAGCGGGCAGAGCCAGACTCAGAGCAGGTGAGTGTTCAGGTACACTCTGCTCAATCTATACGTGGCTCCTGACTTCCACTTCCAAAAAACAATAAGCAGGGTTGCTTTTCTAATTCCTTGATAACTTGGAATTTTATTAATAAAAACCAAGATTTAATAGCATCTATAAGACTATGGACCACAATATAAAAGTACCCACCTCAAAGATAGAAACACCCTGTAACAAATCCTAAAGTATCTTACCCAGTAGGTATTTGTCTCTGTAGTCTTTTATATTTATATCCAGTCATTATTTTATTACTTGACAAAGGACAAACTGCGGCATTTCTTGCTGTCAGTTGAAGACATGCACATTTTGTTCTAAAAGGAAAATAGAAAAGTCAGAATAAAAAAATCACCAAGTGAAAAGACTGTCTTATAAAAATACACATGATCTGCATTTAGAAGGTGTTTGGGGGCTGGGGCTGTGGCGCAGCAGGTTAACACCCTGGCATGAAGCGTCGGCATCCCATATGGGTGCCGTTTAAGACCTCGCTGCTCCACTTCTGATCCAGCTCTCTGCTATGGCCTGGGAAAGCAGTAGAAGATGGCCCAAGTGCTTGCACCCCTGCAACTGCGTGGGAGACCTAGAAGGTCCTGGCTCCTGGCTTCAGATCGGCGCAGCTCTGGCTGTTGCGGCCAATTGGGGAGTGAACAGAAGGAAGACCTCTCTCTCTCTGCCTCTCCTTCTCTGTGTTAACTTCAACTTTCAAATAAATAAATCTTAAAAAAAAAAAAAAGGTGTTTGAAGTTCATAGACACTATAGAGACTTTGAATTTTTGTTCAGCAAAAGCTTCTTTGTAAATCTTTTGCTCCTTCTGCTCTTCTACCATTGATCATTTGTGTGTCAAATATGCGAGGGCATAGTTGTGTAGATGTCTTAAGTTCTCTCTCACTCCAGTGACATACAAATCAGGGACACTGAAGCTAGAGATCTGGCAATTAGAAATCTTTTCTCTTATTGCTTCCTCTAACTTGACTCACCCTCCACAAGGAATACAGAACCTCGATATCCCAGCTATGAACTATATATATGACTACTGATAAGCTGGTTAGATCAATTGGATTCTAGTCTCCTGGTGGAACAAGTAACTTTAAGGTCTTTTCCTCTATGATTTTCTTCTGTGTTTTCTGTACATACATAATACACATCAGAGGTAGCTGCTATTTGCAATAGAAAAAAATCAACAAATTCATCAATTTGGGTTATGGTTACAGATATAAAATTAAAAACGCACAGTTGCTTTTTCCCCATGTGGTTTTGTTTGCAAAGTTTAAGAAGTACAGAAAAACATAACATATGCCCATATTACCATCTCCAGAGTTAGTCACCAGCATTTTGTTCAGCCTTTCATTTTCTTATATAATACAAAGACATTTTACATATGGCTTAAAATTTTTAAATAAAACATTACAAGGGGCAGGCATTATGGCACAGCATGATAAGCTACCACCTGTGTCGCTGGCATCCCATGAGTCCCATCTGCTCTACTTCTGATCCAGCTCCCTGTTAATGTGCCTAGGAAAGCAATGAGAGAACCTGGGCCACTGCCATCCATGTGGGAGACCCCAGTGGAGTTTCAGGCTCCTGGCATTGTTGTGGCCCAACCCTGGCCATTGCAGCCATTTAAATGGAAGATATCTTTCCTCCTCTCTCTGTAACTCTGCCTTTTAAAGAAATAAACATTTAACAAATAAATATTACAGATAAAACTAAGCTCTCAAGAGATTTGGGTGGTGTCCTTTACACTTTTAGTTTCATATGTATTTACAGTAAATATACTCTTTTTCATGTTTAGAAAAATTTACTGGGTGTAGCAGTTAAGACATCTGCATTTCATATCAGAATGCCTGGGTTTGGTACCTGGCTCTGACTCCTGTCTCTGGCCTCCTGCTAATGCATACCCTGGGAGGCAGCAGGTGATAGCTCAAGTATTTGGGTTCCTGCCACCCATATGGGAGACCTAGACTGAGTTACTGGCTCTTGGCTTTAGCCTTGCCTAGTCCTGACCATTGTGGGCACTTGGAATGCTAATGGGAGCTCTCTGCCTCTCCAAGTAAATAAGAAATTTCAGCAATTTACTGTAAGGTATTATTCTATAACTTTGTTATTGTTGTTCACTATATTTTGGGACCCATCTGTGCCATATGCAGACCTGGTTAATTCCTTTTAACTTTTTTACAGCGTTTAACTATTGCCCATTTGATATACAATTGAGTTACCTACATTTTTCAATATAACATTGTTGCAATGAATATCTTTATTCTATTCTCATATATATAAGCCTCTCTAATGTAGCAGCATATTTTTGACAATGACACAGTAAGAAGTACATTTTTTTCATGACCTGGTATAGGTGTACATATTTTTGTCTCTGTGTAGGTGTCTAAATATTTTTCAAGTTGCATTATACATGACACATTTACATGTAGATTTTTATTTATCTTCATACACAGCAGGCTCTTCCAGCCTGAGGATGCCAGTCTTTCTTCAACTTTGGAAAATTCTCAGTGATTTTCTTTGAATATTACATCCTTTCCATTTTCTCTTTCCTTCTTGGATGTATGATGAAATTTCTCATTTTACGTTCCATATTTAAAAAGTCTGTAAGTTACTTCCCCCCTATCTTTACTTCTTTGCTTTCTGGGAGATCTTATTAGTTTTGTCTTATAATTCACTCATTCCTTTTCAGCTATTCTAATTCCATCATTTAGTCTACTTAATTTTTATCTCAATGACTATGCTTTATTTTTGACATTTCCAAATGATATACTTATCAGCTGCCTTTTATAATTTTTTCTTATTGCCTCTCTTTGGACATTTTAAACATGCATATTTGAAAGTGCCTTTAAATCAGATTCTCCTTTTCTATCTGAACCTTTTAGTACTTGAGGGGACCTATGCTGCCTTGGTGGTCCTACACAGCCATGTTTACTTCCCATATCTGTGTGCCATCAGACCTGTGGGTTCATTTTTGTATGTTCCTCCAGGTTGGGTGCTTCCTCCATTGCTGTGACTGTGACTCACAGGGTTTGCAATGCAGTTGTATTGAAGAAACCTGGTTATTGTTGTAAACCCTGATATTCTCTTGATCATATTATTCACATTCCATAAAAAAATGAAACTATGTTTAATACATAAAGACTTTGAAAAACATTTTGTGTGAGGGATGTAATACTTACCAACATGCATTTGTAGGTATGCTGATAGAGAGTGCAGCTGCATTATATGTACACTAAGCTTAATGCAAATGTAGCCACCTCTAGTGGAGTGAAAGGAAAAGCTAGAAAGAGGAATAATTTAAATACAGAAGTTCCTCCTTATCCAAGGACGGCATATTTTAAGACTTCCAGTGTATGCCTGAAATAATAGATAGTACCAAGCCCTATATAGGTGATCAAGAGAATATCAGTTATAAGCACCATTAGGTTTCTAAAAGCTAGCCAAGAAATTATTTTTAAGTTATTTGTAAAACAAAACACAGCAGGTAAATAGTAGTTAAGAATATGGGTTTAAATACTGGCTCTATCATTTACTTCCCTAGGTGGTCCCTGAAGAGCCTTCTCTGAGGTTCATTTGTAATGCAAAGAAAGTATTACCTCTGGGGTTTTTGTGAGAATTAAATAAGGAAGTATATGTAAAATCCTTGTCACAGAGGATTATGCTACAAGATGAAAGACAATATTCATCTTTGGAAGAAATAATTTCCAGAGGCCGGTGCTGTGGCATAGCAGGTAAAGCCGCCGCATGCAGTGCCAGCATGGTTCAAGTCCTGGCTGCTCCACTTCCAATCCAGCTCTCTGCTATGGCCTGGAAAAGCAGCAGAAGATGGCCCGTCTTTGGGCCCCTACACCCATGTGGGAAACCTGGAAGAAGCTCCTGGATTTGGATTGGTGCAGCTCCAGCCACTGCGGCCATCTAGGGAATGAACCAGTGGATGGAAGACCTCTTTCTCATTGCCTCTGCCTCTCTGTATCTCTTTCAAATAAAATAAATATTAAAAAAAAGAAATAATTTTCAAATAAATATTTTTGGCAAGTCTTCTTATTGTGAAAGCACATTTTTCCATTTAAAATTTTTTAGTTTTATTTGTTTGAAATGAAGAGCAACAGAGAATGAGAGAGAGAATTTTCCATCTGCTGGTTCACTCCCCAAATGCCTACAACAGCCAAACCTGGGCCAGGCTGAAGTTAGGAGCCAGGAATTCCAGTGGGGTCTCAAGTATTTTGGCCAATAACTAAGATTTGGGCCATTATCTGCTGCTTCCCAGGCAAATGATCCCAGGTGCTCAGAGATGGTATGCAGGCACACATGGTGGTAGCTTAATCCACTGTACCACAGTTCTCACCCCTCTTTTTTTTTTTTTTTTTTTTAAGACTGATTTATTTATTTTAAAGTCACAGTTACACAGAGAGAAAAGGAGGCAGAGAGAGAAAGGTCTTCCATCCACTGGTTCACTCCCCAGATGGCTGCAATGGCCAGAGCTGTGCTGATCCGAAGCCAGGAGCCAGGAGCTTCTTCCAGGTCTTCCACGTGGGTGCAGGGGCCCAAGCACTTGGGCCATCTTTCACTGCTTTTCCATGCCATAGCAGAGCTGGATTGGAAGTGGAGCAGCTGGGTCTTGATCCGGTGCTCATATGGGATGTCGGTACTGCAAGCATCAGCTTTACCCGCTACGCCACGGCGCCAGCCCCTCATCCCTCTATTTAAAAGTTTTATGTATTTTATTTAAAGGCAGAGATAGATCTATCTAGCTAGCTAGCTATCCATCTATCTATCTTCTGGTTTCCTCCCCAAATGCTCTCAGCAGGTGAGGCTATGCCAGGCCAAAGCCAGGAGCTGGTTAGACTCAATCCAGGTCTCCCACAAGAGTGGCAGGGACCTGAATACTTGAACCATCATTTCTGCCTTCCAAAGTGCTCATTAGCAGGATTCTAGTCTAGAAAGAGGAGCTGGGACTTGAACTCAGGCACTCCCATATGTTATGTGGGCATACCAAGCAGTGTCATAACAGTAGTACCAAATGCCTCTCCCACATCTTTTCATTTTAGAGTCTTGCTGAATGGTTTTAGACAGACAGACAGACAGACAAACTGATACAGAGTAGGACTTTTTGAAAAGTGTCCCTTCATTGAGAAGATTTTTTGAAATGTCACATTTTTCTACTCACATGTCTATGCAGCCCTCAGAACAGTCACATGCATCAGTAAACATGTTGGAAAAGCTGTTTAGATAATAAGTTCGTGGCCACATAGTCTTTCTGTACTTAAACTGTGGAAGCTTTCTACTGTCAATTTCGTTACAGAAAGAAATGGGCACTGACTCCACTCCATTGCTAATATCCACATCAGAAACAATTTCTTCTTGCTTTGGGTAATTCCGAGTCAACTGAACATAGGTATTGAAAGAAAAGTTATCTGTAAATAAAAAGTTACACTCTGTCTCAAGCAGGTAACGAAAAACTTCCTCCACGTTTCGTAGACTCCTTCCACAAGGAGTTTTATAACTCACATGGAGTGCTGACGAATGAGAGTTTGTCTTCGCGTGTCGCCTTTGGAAGTGACACTTGATTGGAAGCTGTAGAGGGTTTTCTCCTTTGAAGCTTGGCATTTTCACCAGACAGGCACGAGAGCAATCATGACTTTGGTAAGATAAATGCAAAGATGATTTTCTTGCTCTCAAGCCTACAACTTTATTTTCCAGAGGAAGAATCTCTTTGTTTCCTGTAGATCTGTTAACATGAATTATTTATTAGTATCTTAAATTTATATTCAATTCCGCACTTTTAAAAACTCTGCACACTAAGGCAACAATTTTTATTCTCTTTTTCTTAAACAACACTAAAATAAGCCAAACTCTTAAGACAATGTTTTAGCATGCTCTATAGCCACATAAAGGTGACACCCAACTTCAGAATACCCCCAGAAAGCTATGATTTCTGATGTGACCTTCTGTTACGCACTTCGCAGCACTTAGCCAATGTAGAGTTCATTTAGAACTCACTAAGGAACTGAGGAGGTTACTTCTTCAGGCATACTTAACTTCCAAGTTTTCTGCCTGCAAAACACCAGCAAAGGCTACAGGGCAGGTGTTGTGGCCAATGGGTTAAGCAATCACTTGAGCCTCTTGGCACACTGAGCCTTGGCATGGTTACTGGCAGCCTAAGGCCACATCCTTGATATGACTGCAGCTTTTCTAAAATGCCTGCCCAAGAAATGTCACCAGAAAACTTTACTGTTTGTTCTAAATAATCCCTCCTGTTCTTTCAGCTTTTATTTAAAAGGGCTTACAATATTAATCTTTCCTCTGTCCCTTTGAGATTTACATGTATCTTCCTCAGGGACTTGAAAGGCATTTCTTTGACGTAATGATCTGGAAGGAGGGGTCCCCTGCTGCCTCCAAGGCCCTGTGGGAGGATGAAACTCTGACTTGGATGGTAACTGCCGCTACCAGACACAACTGTCTATTCACATTTACACTGCCGACTTCTGTCATTTTTCATTTGAGCCTCTGACTTTTGGCTCTGTCTACTTCTCCATCCTTTTAAAATACCTGGCTGCCTCTGCCCAGATTAGAGCTCAATTCTTTCCCCTGCTGTAGGTAGTTACTGAAAAAAAAATATGTTTTTACCACTTTAATTAATACCTAGTTTTGTTTATGTTTTTGACTCTTATCACCAAGCTTCAATAATCATATTTTTGTTCACTTTAAACAAATCCCACACATCACATTTTTTTAACCTGAAATAATTCAGTATGTATTTCTAACAGAGATGTTTTAAAAAATAACCTAAAGACCCATTTTCATACTTCCATGAATCCAGGTAAACTCCACACACTGTATCTAATTAGAGTGTCTTTTATATCTCTTATCCTGATAGCAGTGCACCCTCCATTTTCACCACATAACATTTCATTTGTTGAAGGTGAGGTGTCATTTGTCCTGTAGCATCTGCCACATTCTGGAACTTGGCTGATGGCCTTCTTTATAGTGTTTAATTAACTCTTTCTTCTGCCTCTTGTATTCCCAGTAAATTGATGGTTAGTTCTAGGAGCTTCAGTAGATTCAGACTTTTTGGGGGGTAGTTCAAATTTTGGGTTGTGGGAAGCACATAGGTGGTATTATGAATTTCCCATTGTGTCACAACAGGAAGCACACAATACCTGGGTGTCTCCCTTCCAGTGATGTTAATAACCAGGTTGGGGTGTTTTCAGCCAAGTCCATCCATTTCAGTCTCTCATGAAATCTTTCACTTACTGGTTTTGGCATTCATTTACGAACATTTTCTAGGGTAGCCCTATACAAGTTATGGTGGTGTGAGTCCTCAATGGTTTGCTACCAATTCATGATCACTGAAGAACTGAAAGTGTTTGGAAATTTTCCAAGCAGTTTAATACTGTCACAACATTTTATTGCCTTTTAGAAGAAAAGAAGTCCTTAATAAACTGGAAGTTTTAAACAAGAAAACATCACTACAGTTATAGTTTGAAAATATGGACCTGGGCCACTGTTTTAGTGGGAATAGGGGCAATGGTGGTTATAAAATTAACAATCATCTAACACTATCATTCTTACTGAATTTTCTGGCTGGAATTCTCTTATAAAGAAATTTTCCTCACTAACCTTGAGTTATTTTGACAAAGAATTACTTTGGGAAAGGTGGCAAAACAGATTTTTTTCAGTAACTACCTACAGCAGGGGAAAGAATTGAGCTCTAATCTGGGCAGAGGCGGCCAGGTATTTTAAAAGGATGGAGAAGTAGACAGAGCCAAAAGTCAGAGGCTCAAATGAAAAATGACAGAAGTTGGGAGTGTAAATGTGATTCTTTTTACTTACCACTACTCAAAATAATGAGTCATATCCTATCAACTACCAAAGTGACTGATTAAACTGTTATTAATAAATGCTATCATGAACTCATGGATCTTTTAATGCACTTAATGTGACTAAATTAATCTCAGTGATTATTCCTTCTGATGTTCGAATTGTGTGATTTTTGGCCTTCAAGTTTGTTCTTGTATCCTTCTGCACAACACCAAGTCTTTGGAACCTTTCTTTCCTGTTACAAGATGTCCTAGGTTTGGAATCAGTCATTTCTGTAGGAACCATGGTTCTGCTTAATAAGAATCAACATGCAGGGATCACAATTTTGGTCCCAAGAGGTACAGACGTTTTAATCATACAGACTCCCAAACTGATTTCCAAAAAGGCTGTACCAACCTATACTCTCATGAGCATAAATGAATGCTGTTCTGAATATTATTAATTTTAAAGTCAATATGATACACATTAAAAATAGTATTGTGTAACTTCTTTTTCTCTAAATAGGAACTTTGATCATAATTTCATGTTAATTGGCCCCCTACCCCCACTTTGGTGACATATCTATTTTTAAAAATTATGTAATTTGTTTGAAAGGCAGACTTACAGAGAGAAAGAGATCATTCATTCACATTTTAATCCCCAAATGACTGGAACGGCCTGAGCTGGGGGAGCCTAGAACTCTATCCAAGTCTCCCACGTGGGTACCAGGGGACCAAGTACTTAGGCCATCTTCTGCTGCCTTCCCAGGCACATTAGCAGGGAGCTGGATCAGAAGTGGGGCAGCCAGTAAACATACTGCTCCACAATGCCAGCCCCTGAAATGTTTATTTACATATTTCTTTCATTACAATTTTTTTAAAAAAAAATTTCTTTGAAAGGCAGAGAGAGAAACAAGCACTTTCCAAATACCCTCAACAGCTAGGTCTGGGAGAGGTTGAAGGTAGAAACTCAGTCCTGGTCTTGCAAGTGGATGACAGGGACTCAAATAATTGAGCCATCATCTGCTTCCTTCCAGGGTACACATCAGCGGGAACTGGAATTGGAAGCAGACCCAGGACTCCAACCTGGGACTCCTATATCTAATGCAGGCATCCAAAGGAGCATCTTAACTGCTGCGCCAAACATCTAAAGCTGTCCACTTGTTTACTAGGGGTTCATTCATCCATTCTTTCAAATATTTTGAGTGCCTGTTACATGCCAGGTGAAATGGAAATAATGATGAGAGCTCTGTGATATCAAAGAATTTATATTCTATACAGAGGACTAAGTATTAACAATAAAGTACAAATAATGTTATAAAGTCCTGATACATGTCAGGGTAACACTTATGGAAAAACATCTAATCTCTATTACTTTTCTGGATTTTTAGGATTCTAATTTGATAATTAGTTTTTTTATAGTTTGAGAATCCAACTTCACCTGGAATTTATTTTAATGTACCATTAAGGTTTAAGTTAGGGGCCCGCGCTATGCCATAGTAGGTTAATCATCTGCCTGCCGTGCCAGTGTCCCATATGGGCACCAGTTCAAGTCCCTGCTGCTCTGCTTCCAATTTAGCTCCCTGCTGATGGCCTGGGAAAGCAGTAGAAGATGGCCCAACTGCTTGGACTCCTGTACCCATGTGGGAGGCCTGGATGAAGCTCCTGGCTCCTGGCTTTGGATTGGCCCAGCTCTGGCTGTTGTGGTCATCTGGCCATTTGGGGAGTAAACCAGTGGATGGAAGACCTCTATGTCTTTCTCTCTGTAATTCCACTGCTTATTTTTTTAAAAAAATAAGATTTAAGTTAAATGTCCCAAATTATATCCAATTATTCCAGAGTTGTTTTTGCCAAGTTCTGCTTTTAAATTGTGACTTACGACGTACAACTTAATCATACCCTATGTTCTCATGAATATTATATAAATGTTCTCTCAGTTTGTAGGATTATTCAATCTCTTGATTTAACTTAACTTTTTAAAAAGATGTATTTATTTGAAAGGCAGAACTATAAATAGAGGGGGAGAGACAGAGAGAGATCTTCCATCCGCTGGTTCACTTCCTCAGTGGCCACAATGGACAGGCCTGGGTCAAGCTAAACACATGAATCTAGAAATTCATCTGGGTCTCTTACAGTGTACAAGGGCTCAAGAATTTGGGCCATCTTGCAAAGTTTCCCAGGCACTAGCAGGGAGCTGAACTGGAAGTAGAGCAGCCTGGACTCTAACTGGTGCCCATATGGGAATGCTGGTGTCTCAGGCAGCAGCTTAATGTGCTGTGCCACAAAACTGGTCCTGTTAATTCTTTTTTTTTTTTTTTTTTTAGATTAATTTATTGATTTCAGAGGCAGAGTTACAGAGAGGCAGAGGCAGAGAAGTCTTCAATCCGCTGGCTCACTCCCCAAATGGCTGCAATGGCTAGAGCTGGGCTGATCTGAAGCCAGGAGCTTCTTCCTGGTCTTCCAAAAGGGGTGCAGGGGCCCATGGTCTTGGGCCATCTTCTACTGCTTTCCCAGGCCATAGCAGAGAGCTGAATCGGAAGTGGAGCAGCAGGGACTCGAACTGGTGCCTAAATGGGATGCCAGAACTGCAGGCAGCGGCTTTACCCACTATGCCAAAAGTGCTGGCCCCCCATTAATTCTTTATACCAGTACAACATTGTTTTTTATAAGTTGAAGGAGAATTTTGGTGTTTCTCAGGACAACTCCTTCCTTACCTTTTTTCCTTTTAAACATGGTCTGTGTGCTTTATCTTTTTGAGAGTAATTTGTAATTGCTTCTTGAGTTGAAAAATCCAAGTAATGGGATATATGGAATTAAATGAAATCTGTTATTTAGGGGAAGAATTTATCTTTTTATAATATTCAGTCTTCCCATCCAGCAACATGATTAAGTTTATTTATTAAATCTTTAGTTTTAACATGTATATGATTTCCTGTGATTACTCTATTTTAAAATTTTTGAATACTGCATATATGGATTTTATCGCAATTTTCTAATAGTATGGACTTTCTTTTTTTAAGATTTATTTATTTATTTGAAAGGCAGAGTTACACAGAGGCAGACGCAGGGAGGGAGAGAGGGGGGGGAGAGAGAGAGAGAGAGAGGTCTTCCATCCACTGGTTCACTCCCCAGATGGCCACAACGGCCGGAGCTGTGCCAATCTAAAGCCAGGAGCTTCTTTTGGGTCTCCCACCTGGGTGCAGGAGTCCAAGTACTTCAGCCATCCTCCACTGCTTTCGCAAGCCACTGAGCAGGGAGCTGGATCGGAAATGTGAGCAGCTGGGGGACTGGAACTGGCGCCACATGTAATACTGATGCCGCAGTCAGAGGTTTAATCTACTACACCACAGCACTCGCCCCTCAAAAGAAATACTTTTAAGGTTTCATCAGAGGCCGGTGCTGGGGCGTAGCGGGTTAAAGCCCTGGCTTGAAGTGCTGGCATCCCATATGGGCGCTGGTTCTAGTCCCGGCTGCTCCTCTTCTGATCCAGCTCTCTGCTATGGCCTGGGAGGGCAGTAGAGGATGGCCCAATTCCTTGGGCCCCTGCACCCACGTGGGAGATCCGGAAGAAGCTCCTAGCTCCTGGCTTCAGATTGTGCAGCTCCGGCCGTTGCAGCATCTGGAGAGTGAACCAGTGGATAGAAGACCCCCCTCCAATCACGTGTAACTCTGACCTTCAAATAAATCTTTAAAAAAAAAAAGATATTATAAGGGTTTATTTATTTTCTTTTTAGAAAGAGAGATTAGCCCTGAGTCTGGGTTCAGTACTCTCACTGATACGTTCCCACCCACCTAACTGAAAGTCTGAGCTGCATCTGAGCACCAGGGTTCCCATCATGGATCCCTACTGATGTTCCCTTACTGCCCCAATATGTAGTTGTCCCACATAAGCCTTGAGGGAGAGCCTCAATAAGTGTCTCTGGATGCCATACCAAGTCTCTCCTGAAAACAGACATACTCAAGAGCCCAAGAACCCAGCTGGTCTGGATGCAGGCCCCAGCATCTCAGAGCTGGCCGGAGTGCACCAGGGCTTCTCTGTCTTTAGAATCATGCCCCTGAAGATCCCAGCCCTCCTCTCTACCCATCATGCCAGAGACCTAGTGGGGATGCAGAAGCTGGGATACAGAGGTGCAGGACCAGGAATCTGTCTTGCCTTTAAGCTCTAAGCACTTCCCAGAATTTAGGCCTGAAGCTCAGTACCTGCTCTGTACCAGTCATGAACCAGACCTGGGGCTGGCAAATTGGCGTAGCAGGTAAAGCCACCGCCAGTAACACCACCATCCCATATGGGCACTGGTTCGAATCTCAGCTACTTCACTTCTGATCCACGTCCCTGCTAACAGCCTGAGAAAAGCAGCAGAGTATAGCCCAAAGAGTTTGGACCCCTGCCACCCATGTGGGTGACCTGGAAGAAGCTCCTGCCCCTGGCTTCAGCTTGGCCCAGCCCCAGCTATTGTAGCCATCTGGGGAGTCAAACAGCTTTGCTGTCTCTTTCCCCACCTCCCTGCCTCCATCGCTGCAACTCTGACTTTCAAATAAATATCTTAAAAAAAAATATTTATTTGTTTGAGAGGCAGAGTTACAGACAATGAGAGAGAGAGGGAGAGAGAGAGAGAGAGAAACAGAAAGGTCTTCCATCTGCAGGTTCACTCTCCAAGTGGCCACAATGGCTGGAACTGTGCCAATCCAAAGCCAGGAGCCAGGAGCTTCTTCTGGGTCTCCCAGGCCATAGCAGAGAGCTAGATTGGAAGAGGAGCAGCCAGAACTAGAACCGGTGACCATATGGGATGCTGGCACCATAGGTGGAGGCTTAACCTACTGCACAACAGTGCTGGCCCCAATAAATATATCTTTTAAAAAAAGAAGAAGAATCAGGCTTGCAGGGCTCTACTGGCCACCCTCTTACTTGGATGGAGTGGTGTCTGGGGCAATGCCCTACACTGCCAAAACTGCCCCTTTAGCAAGTGCCCTGTGTACTGCAGTACATGGCGGGGATCGTGGCCTCCAAGAGGGCGAGGCTGGGACTGGTGGGGCAGCAGAAGCAGGCCCCAATAGCTGCTTCTTGATGACAGCTGGTCTGAAGCCGATATGCTTTTAAAATATTTCTTAAAAACATACATAAAACAAAAATAAATGAATAAATAAAATTAAAACAGAGACTGAAAGAGGTACTAGTGTTTGCTGCAGCAATAAAAATGCTGTTTGGGTCACCCACGTCCCATATTGGAGTATTTTCCAAGTCCTTGCTCCTCTATATTTGATCCAATTCCCTACAAATGCATATCCTGGGAGGCAGCAGACAATGGCTCAAGTGCTTAAGTCCCTGCTACCCTCATGGGAGACCCAGATGGAGTTCTGCGTTCACAGCTTTGGCCTAGCCCAATCATAGCTGTTGTGGGCATCTGAGGAGTGAACCAAATAAAAATGAAAATAAATAAAAAATGAAGGAAAACTGGGAAAAAAACCCACAAGGTAAAGGTTGTTCCCCTTACATAACTTCAATGTATTTGAGTACTTTTGAATAATGCTGGTGTTACAAAACATAGTAAAAAAGTCATCATATTCTATAATCCACTCTTCTTTAGTGTAGTTCACTTTAGTAATTATTGTTACTCCTTTATTTACTTATTTATATTAGTGTCTAGTACTTCCTTGTTTCTTAAAGCTGGTGCCTGGCCAGCACTGCGGCTCACTAGGCTAATCTTCCGCCTGAGGCACTGGCACACCGTGTTCTAATACCGGTTGGGGCGCCGGATTCTGTCCCGGTTGCCCCTCTTCCAGGCCAGCTCTCTGCTGTGGCCCGGGAGTGCAGTGGAGGATGGCCTAAGTGCTTGGGCCCTGCACCCCATGGGAGACCAGGAGAAGCACCTGGCTCTTGGCTTCTGATCAGCGCGGTGCGCCTGCTGCAGCGGCCATTGGAGGGTGAACCAATGGCAAAGGAAGACCTTTCTCTCTGTCTCTCTCTCTCACTGTCCACTCTGCCTGTCAAAAAAACAAAACAAAACAAAACAAAACAAAACAAAAACACACGCTGGTGCCTGAATTACTTGTTCCCTATTATCATGTGCCAAGTTCCTTCTTGCCACCTTTCCTTATTAGGTATCACAGCCTGACCTGACTCTGGGCACTTCTATTTGTTTGTCTGGCTTTCAAACAAATGAAATAAATCTTTAAAATATTTTTATACATTCAAACTGTAACTATCTCCAATATTTGTAAATATACATCACATATAATAGTGTCTGTCTATGACTCTCACAGACACTAAGATAAAAGGGAAAAAGAATTCTACATGGAGAACTTCTTGTTGTTATTTTAGTATTTAGTTGACAAGGCAAATGAAGTTAGGGAAAGGGCCGGCGCCGCGGCTCAATAGGCTAATCCTCCACCTTGCGGCGCCGGCACCCCGGGTTCTAGTCCCGGTCAGGGCGCCAGATTCTGTCCCGGTTGCCCCTCTTCCAGGCTAGCTCTCTGCTGTGGCCAGGGAGTGCAGTGGAGGATGGCCCAAGTCCTTGGGCCCTGCACCCACATGGGAGACCAGGAGAGGCACCTGGCTCCTGGCTTCGGATCAGCGCGGTACGCGAGCCGCAGCGCGCCGGCCGTGGCGGTCATTGGAGGGTGAACCAAAGGCAAAAAGGAAGACCTTTCTCTCTCTCTCTCTCTCTCTCACTCACTGTCCACTCTGCCTGTCAAAAAAAAAAAAAATGAAGTTAGGGAAAGAACTTAAGAACCTCATTTCTAAAGACACTTCTTTGTTTTCTGAAGCTCATGTTCTCTGCTCTAGTGCAAAATACTTTCCGAAAACTTCCCTTTAATTTGTAGTTGAAGGGTCTGACAGAGGCATTTCTTAATAAATCTAACCAAACACTAAATGTCAGGATCTCAGATTCTCTCCTGACATGATTTTCTCTTGTATTAAACACCTTCACACAGACACTTGGTAATCAGAGAAAGGGAAGGGCAGAAGAAATTCAGCCTGCATACTCCCACAACTCTCTAGCACTACTTTAGAGCTGTTCATGCATTCTAAAACCTGAAGTAATGCTGAAATATCTTGGACCCTTTTAAAAAAGTACTCCAAATAATCAGTTATTTGAAAAAAACAGACAACTTGGTAGATTTCAGTCTATTAATAGAATACACAGGTATCCTAAGTTAAATTGTATTAAAAAAAACTTGACTATGTTGGAATATTAACAAATAAATAAGCTACAAAGCACATGAAGCTTTATCTTACATAAAATCCAAATTTACAACTTATAAAAGCTTTAATGGTAAAGATTCTATATTATGTTTTATCTATTCTAATACGAGGTTGCTTAAAAAATAGTAATCTCCAGGAGTAATGGCATTAACAACGTAATATATACACATACGGAAATGTACTGTCTTCAGGAAACAAGTTTTCACAGGATGTAGAGGGAAATGATTGTGATTTGTTTCCCTTTTCATTCTCAGTCACAGGTATATGACCTACATGGAAGAAATAACAAATATGAGCAACACCAGGTTAAGTCATTCATTACAATATGCAAATAGTATCTTCAAGGCTAGAGAAGTTCCTCATATAGAGCTTTACATTTCAAGACTCAGACAAAAGATTCAGTATCAGAATGTTTAAAACATTAAGAAAATGATGGGGAGGGCATTTGGCCGCACTAGCTAGTGTGCCTGCATCCTACACTGCAGCACCTATGTTCGATGCCCAGCTTTGCTTCTGACTCTAGCTCCCAGCTAATGCAGAACTTGGGAGGCAGTGGCGATTGTGCAAGTGTCTGGGTTTCTGCTACCCACACTGGAAACATGGATTGAGTTTTCAGCTCCAGTTCTGGCCTCAGCCCAGCCCTGGCTGTCATGGGTATATGGGGAGTAAGTCAGTAGCTCTTTCTTTTTTTTTTATTATTATTTTTTTATTTTTATTTTTTGACAGGCAGAGTGGACAGTGAGAGAGAGAGACAGAGAGAAAGGTCTTCCTTTTGCCATTGGTTCACCCTCCAGTGGCCGCCACGGCCGGTGTGCTGAGGCTGGCGCACCGCGCTGATCCGATGGCAGGAGCCAGGTACTTATCCTGGTCTCCCATGGGGTGCAGGGCCCAAGCACTTGGGCCATCCTCCACTGCACTCCCGGGCCACAGCAGAGAGCTGGCCTGGAAGAGGGGCAACCGGGAAAGAATCCGGCGCCCCGACCGGGACTAGAACCTGGTGTGCAGGCGCCGCAAGGCGGAGGATTAGCCTAGTGAGCCGCGGCGCCGGCCAAGTCAGTAGCTCTTTCCATCCCTCTCTCCATTTCTCAAATAAGTATTTTTTAAATAAAAAAAAATGAGGGGCCTACATTGTGATGTACTGGGTAGAGTTGCTGCCTTATGGGCACCAGCTGATATGCTGGCTGCTCTACTCTCAATCCAGCTCCCTGCTAATGGCCTAGAAGCCATGGAAGATAGCCCAAGTGCCTGGTGACCCAACACCCATGTGGGAGACCTGGAAGGAACTCCTGGCTTCAATCTTGCTCAGCCCTAGCCAATGCAGTCACCTGAGGAGTGAACTAGCAGATGGGAAAATCTCTATGTCTCTACTTCTGTCTCTGAAGCTCTTTCAAATACATAAATCTTTTATTTTTTTAATTAAGAAAATGAGGGCCGGCGCTGTAGCTCACTAGGCTAATCCTCCGCCTTGCGGCGCCGGCACACCGGGTTCTAGTCCTGGTCAGGGCGCCAGATTCTGTCCCGGTTGCCCCTCTTCCAGGCTAGCTCTCTGCTGTGGCCAGGGAGTGCAGTGGAGGATGGCCCAGGTGCTTGGGCCCTGCACCCCATGGGAGACCAGGAGAAGCACCTGGCTCCTGCCATCAGATCAGCGCGGTGCGCCAACTGCAGCGTGCCGGCCACGGTGGCCATTGGAGGGTGAACCAGCGGCAAAGGAAGACCTTTCTCTCTGTCTCTCTCCCACTGTCCACTCTGTCAAAAAAAAAAAAAAAAAAAAAAAGAGAGAGAGAGAGAGAGAGAGATAGGACAAAATAAAATACATAGGTGAGATTTTTTTTAAAAAAATGTTTTTATTTATTTGAGAAGTAGAGTTACAGACAGTGAGAGGGAGAGCTAGAAAGGTCTTCCTTCCATTGGTTCACTCCCCAAATGGCTGCGATGGCCAGAGCTGCACAGATTCGAAGCCAGGAACAAGTTGCTGCCTCCTGGTCTTCCATGCAGGTGCAGGAGCCCAAGGACCTGGGCCATTTTCCACTGTTTTCCCAGGCCATTGCAGAGAGCTGGATCAGAAGAGGAACAGCCAGGACTAGAACCAGCGCCCATATGGGAAGCCGGTGCTGCAGGCAGAGGATTAACCCACTGTGCCACGGCGTCAGCTCCCATAGGTGAGATTTCTACCACAGAAACTTTAGTTGGGCTTGAACTTGATCTAAATTTGTCAGCTTTTTTTTTTTTTAAGATTTATTTATTTATTTGAAAGGCAGAGTTACACAGGAGAGAGAGAGGCAGAGAAAGAGAGAGAGAGATAGAAAGATAGCGTGAGAGAGAGAGGTATCTTCGATCTGACGGTTCATTCCCTAAATGGCCACAACGGCCGGGTCTGGGCTAGGCCAAAGCCAGGAACCAGGAGCTTCATCCAGGACTTGGGCCATCTTCCACTGCTTTCCAGGTGTATCAGCAGGGAACTGAATTGGAAGTGGAGCAGCCCGGACTCGAACTGGTGTCCATATGGCATGCCAGTGCTGCAGGCAGCAGCTTTATCTATTACAACACAGTGCCAACCCCAATTTTAGAATGCATTTAAAGCGAGCATCAAATCTCTCTACTTCTGGGGCTGGCATGGTAGAGTAGTGGGTAAAGCTGCCACCTGCAGTATTGGCATCCCATATGAGCACCAGTTCAAGTCCCGGCTTCTCCATTTCTGAACCAGCTCTCTGCTATAGCCCGGGAAAGCAGTAGGAGATGGCCCAAGTCCTTGGGCTCCTTCACTCAAGTGGGATATCTGGAAGAAGCTCCAGGCTTCTGGCTTTGGATAGGCACAGCTCTGGCCATTGCAGCCATTTGGGGAGAGAACCGGCATATGGAAGATCTCTCTCTGCCTCTGTATCTCCATCTTTCAAATAAATAAATAAATCTTTTAAAAAATCTCTACTTCTGCCTGTATTTTAAAGAAAACATATTCTTCAAGGCTCTAAAAAGCCGGAAAATAGAAGGTTTATGTATCTTTTGTATTCTGATTGTTCTAGAGTCATCAATTCTGTGTGTAGGGATATGAGGTATTTGGGTAACCACTTTTGATCTATTTGTCTTTTCATATTTCTTCATTACCTTTTTATTGTATTATCTCGTTATGTGTGTCTTCCATTTATACTTTATCTACTCTTTCTATCATGACTTCAATATAGAAATAAAACCCTATTTTTAATGAAAGCTATAAATTTCCTGTTCTTATTTGAAAAGTAGATAATATGGAATATTCCAGGTTTAGCTTAAAATTTTTTCAGGAATGAGGGGCGGCATTGACAGGTTAAGCTACCACCTGCCATACCAGCATTATTTGAGTGTCAGTTGAGTTTTGGCTATTCCAGTTCCAATATAGCTCCAGGCTAATGCACTTGGGAAATAAATGGAAGATGACCTAACTGCTTGGACTCCTGACACCCATATGGGAGACCAGGATGTAGTTCCTGGCTCTTGGCTTTGGCCTGGCCCAGCCCTGGCCATTGCAGCCATTTGGGGAGTGAAACAACAGATGGAAGATCTTTTTCTCTCCATCTCCGTAACTCTACCTTTCAAATAAATAAATATCTTTAAAAAAACAATCTTTTCTTGGGGTGGATCTTTGGGTCAGTGGTTGAGTCACTGAGTGAGATGCCTGCATCCCATATCAGAGTGCCTGGTTCAAGTTCTAGACTTCTCCACTTCTGATCCAGCTTTCTTCTAATGTGCACCCTGGGAGGCAGAAGATGGTCAAAAAACTTGGTCCCTGCCACCCATGTGGGAGACTTGGATGCGTTCTAGCCTCCTGGTTTTGGCCTGGCCCTACCCTGGCTATTGTGAGTATTTAGGAAATGAATCAGTGAACGGAAGATCTGTCCATCTTTCTGTTTCTATCCACTTTGCAATTAGAATGAAAAAACAAAAGTTAAAATTAAAAAAAAAAAAACCCTGACTTTTCTTAATGTGCTTACTTTGTCTAATGTATTGACAGACATTCAGAAAAGACAAAACAAAACTGTGATACTTATCTTGCCTTATACTATTATCTTGGTGTTAAAGAGAAAACTAAATCTTTAAAGCACAATAAGGCAGATCATTCAGGACCATTGCAAAAGGGATAGAAACCAGTGCAATGGGATTTTACAGTGAAGTAGGAGGTTGGGCTCAATTGTGAATATAGCACAGACAGGTGGGAATGGGATGTTAGTGTTGCAGGTGGAGGCTTAGCCTACTATGACACAGCACTGGCCCCCAGATGGCTTTTTTTTTTTTTTTTTTTTTTTTGACAGGCAGATTTAGACAGTGAGAGAGACAGAGAGAAAGGTCTTCCTTCTGTTGGTTCACCCTCCAAATGGCTGCTACAGCCGGCGCACTGCACCAATCTGAAGCCAGGAGCCAGGTGCTTCCTCCTGGTCTCCCATGTGGGTGCAGGGCCCAAGCACTTGGGCCATCCTCCACTGCCTTCCCGGGCCACAGCAGAGAGCCGGACTGGAAGAAGAGCAACCGAGACAGAACCGGCACCCCAACCGGGATTAGAACCCAGTGTGCTGGCACCACAGGCGGAGGATTAGCCTAGTGAGCTGCGGCGCCGGCCCAGATGGCTTCTTTCGACCTCAACACCAATTCCTTTTGTTTCACTCATTTTTTAATGGAATGTCGATGCTGCAAGCCATGGCTTTATCTGCTATGCCAGAATGCCAGCCCCAATCTCTAAACATTTCTTTTTTTTTTAAGATTGATTTATTTATTTGAAAGGCAGAGTTACAGACATAGAGATAGAGAGATCTTCCAATCGCTGGTTCAATCCCTAAATGGCCACAACAGCCAGGACTGGGACAGGCAGAAGTCAGGACCCAGGAGCTTCTTCCAGGTCTCCCATGTGGGTGCAGTGGCCCAAACACTTGGGGCTTCCTCCACTGCTTTCCCAGGAGCATTAGAAGGGAGCTGGATCAGAAGTGGAACAGCTGGGACTTAAATTGGTGGCCATATGGGATACCGGTGCCTTAGGCAGCGGCTTTAACCCGTTGAGCCACAGCACCAGCCCCTCAATATTATTTTAAAAATAAATGCTACCATGAAACTTAATTACCAGGAAAAAAAATTTTTTTTTGACAGGCAGAGTTTAGACAGAGAGAGAGAGACAGAAAGAAAGGACTTCCTTTCCGTTGGTTCACTCCCCAAATGGCTGCCACAGCCGGTGCACTGCGCCAATCCAAAACCAGGAGCCAGGTGCTTCCTCCTGGTCTCCCACACGGGTGTAGGGCCCAAGGACTTGGGCCATCTTCCACTGCACCCCTGGCCCACAGTAGAGAGCTGGACTGGAAGAGGGGCAACTGGGACAGAATCCGGTGCCCCAACCGGGACTAGAACCCGGGGTGCTGGTGCCACAGGTGGAGGATTAGCCTAGTGAGCCGCAGCACCGGCCAATTACTAGAAATTTTTAATGCTTACACTCAGATTTGCCAACAATGTCAATTGTATAACCCTCCCCAATTACTTACTTTAAAATATCTCTCCAAATCTGGAAATAGGGTACTTTTGTGTTTATTAACTTGTTGCATTTCAGATAAACAAATTATAAAAACATGAAATCTTAATATTAATAATTTCTGCTGATAAAATTATTGCTTTAAAAGACTCAAAGACTCAACTTACTCTTAATGGAAAATAAGTTGTTTCAGAAAGAAAAAAAAACTGTTTAGCATGATTTTCTTGTTACCAATTCTCACATTTAAAAGCCTCCCTTGCAATCCCTTAAGGGTGTGCTGTTTCTGCTTAGGTCCAGAATGTGCCACAGTGGTACAAGGACTGCTTTGAGCTGAAGACACTTGAGAATCCACAAATGCAGAAAAAGCTTTCTCTGAACATCCCTTATCTGTCCAAAACAGATCCTCCCAAAAAAGAACCAAACTGCCACAAATTGCCTCCCCCCAGAGAATTTCATCAACCAGGAAAGATGACTCTTATCACAGGAGAGCAGAAGTCAGCCCCATACAGATCCATCCTATCTCCCACCTGTGCTCCGCAGGATCTATTTCTCTCTCCAAAGGCATCTGTGCTCCCAGAGCAGCTCTCTGACCCTCCCCTTCCCCTACCGAGATGCTCTAACAAGCTCTCAAATCTCACACTGCTGCTTTGGGTATTCACTTCTGTGTAGCTCCTGTGTACGTAAAATTAAAAGTTAATAAATTGGTATTCTTTTCTGTTATTCTGTCTTTTGTCAATTTAATTAATAGCCCCCACCTACAGCCAATAAGATAGAGAAAAGTTTTTCCTTCCTCTATAATTCCAAGGATACTGTGAAAGGGAACTCACTTGAACCCACTTCTAAACTATACTTGAGTTACTAAAATTGTGAATATCTTTGAATAACAAAGGTTTCTTTATAGACTGGTGATGCTATATTTTCAGAGATTTAAAAATTTCTAGGCTGCAAATTATGATATTAAGACAAAATGAGTAAAATTTCTTGATAACATCCAACAGAATTAAAATCCAGTAAATGTACTTCTGTAATACTTTAGCAAATTTGTGATAGACTAATATAATGAAATGGTGATTCTAATAAAAATCTTTTTTCCTTTTCTAGTCTTTGTACATAGACCACTATAAGAAATATATACTGGGTTTTGGCTGGCGCCGCGGCTCACTAGGCTAATCCTCCGCCTAGCGGCGCCAGCACACGGGGTTCTAGTCCCGGTCGGGGCGCCGGATTCTGTCCCGGTTGCCCCTCTTCCAGGCCAGCCCTCTGCTGTGGCCAGGGAGTGCAGTGGAGGATGGCCCAGGTGCTTGGGCCCTGCACCCCATGGGAGACCAGGAAAAGCACCTGGCTCCTGGCTCCTGCCATCGGATCAGCGCGGTGCGCCGGCCGCAGTACACTGGCCGCGGCAGCCACTGGAGGGTGAACCAACGGCAAAGGGAAGACCTTTCTCTCTGTCTCTCTCTCTCTCACTGTCCACTCTGCCTGTCAAAAAAAAAAAAAGAAAAAAAAAGAAAGAAAGAAATATATACTGGGTTTCTGCCCCAGTTTCCAACACAGGATTCTAAATCTCTTGTAATTTCCTGAGTGATGGGGTTACAAGGACATTTTATGTTATATTTGGTCTTAATCCTAGCTTCCTGACACAAGAGTTTTTTTTTGTTTTTTTTTTTTTTGTTTTTTTTTTTACAGGCAGAGTGGACAGAGAGAGAGAGACAGAAAGGTCTTCCTTTGCCGTTGGTTCCGTTGGTTCACCCTCCAATGGCCGCCGCGGCCGGCACGCTGCGGCTGGCACACTGCGCTAATCCAATGGCAGGAGCCAGGTGCTTATCCTGGTCTCCCATGGGGTGCAAGACCCAAGCACTTGAGCCATCCTCCACTGCACTCCCGGGCCACAGCAGAGAGCTGGCCTGGAAGCTTTTAAGCCCCTTAGAGTCTCTGGAGTGACAAGTGTCTTCTGTATGCTAATAAGAAGATTGGTGACTGGGTTAGCTAGACCAAGGTCCAAACAGAGGGTTGGAATTTTTATTCCAAGGATGGAGTGGGGCAGGAAGTCAAGTTAATCACCAGTGGCAACTCTTTATTTAGTGAACCCATCAAGCCTCTGACTATAATATAAATTAAAAATGCTATCTTAAAATATATATATTTCAAAAATGTATCAATGGCCACCAAGTTAATAAAAAAATGCCCATGTAATGAGATCTCCATGTATCCTCTATATGACAGAGCTCAGAGATTTACCAGTTGTTGAACACATCCACTGCTATGAGGTTGTAACCCTCAAACTCCAAGAGACAGAAACTTCTGCACGCATCAAGGTCCTTCAGAACCCCGTACCTCTCCACCTGGCTGCTCCTCTGTGTCCTTTTTAATATCCCTTATAATAAGCCTGCAAAAATAACTAAAGTACTTCCTGAATTCTATCAGTCATTATACAAATTATCAAACTGCAGGAGGGGACTATGGGAATCCCTAGTTGGCAGCCAAGTTGGTTAACTAAAGGCACAGGGCTTGTGACTAGCATCTGAAGTAGGGGATAAGCCGTGTGGGACTGATCCCTCACTTGGGGGCTCTGTACTAACTCTGGCAGGTAGGCGGCAGAACTGAACAAAATTATACAATGCTCAGTTGGTATCCACAGAAAACTGGAAAATCGCTTGGTGTAGAAACCTACACATTTCCTATCAGAAGTAGTGTGAATAGAGAAATAGTGTTTTTTCTTTTTAAGTACATTATCTTTAATCCTTCTAAATTGAATTTATTTAAAATTTGTAAGATTAATGGTCTAAAAATATTTAAAACTGAAAAATATACCTTCCTAGTAGTGTTCTTCACAGAAAATGGGTTTATGGTGGTTTTTAGTTTCAGAATTCTATCTGCCCTCTTTACATCAGAAGACTTCTTGAAGAAAACACACATTTGTTCATCTTTTCCTTAGGAGATACATTTCCTATCTCTGTAAGGACTGGGTTTTTCACTTAATAGAGGAAACTATAATTTATAGTGCTCAGCAATGTGGATCTTACATTTATTTTAAATTATCTTTAATTGACTTGACACATTAAGGTTGGCCTGCTACCTGGCAAGCAAATACCACAGAATGAATACTTTGGATTGGGATTAAAAACATACATACCCTTTACCAATGAAAAATTGTTATTTAGAGTTGCTTCATTCACTAGGATCATTGCTTGGATATATTCTGTTAAGGAAAGAAAAAACAGAATAAAAGCAATCAACATGACCATCATGTCAAACAATTTACATATTTTCTCTCATTTAATTTTCACAATTCCCTTGAGAGGGTCAGAGACTAAGCTATTTATTGCAGGTCATGCAGCTAAAAGTGGCAGGGGTAGATTCAAATCTAGATATATTTGACTCATGGAGGATTGAAAAGAAATATTAAATCTTTTGCAGAAATATCTAATAGATTAATGTCATAAAAATACCTAGTAAGTATAAGAAGAGTCTGGGGAAAACTTTATTTTAAAACCATATGTCCTGGGGCAGCTGTTTGGCACAGTGGTTAAGTTGCTACTTGGGATGGCTGCATCCCATACCAGAGTGCCTGGTTTGAACCTCAGCTACTTTGCTTCCAATCCAGCTTGCTGCTAATGTACACCCTTGGAGGCAGCTGATGGTTCCAGTTAATCACCAGTGCTAACTTGAGTCCCTGTTCCCAACATGGAAGCCCATATGGAGTTCCTCACTCTCAATTTCTGCTTGCCAGGCATTTGGGGAATAAACCAGTGGATGGAAGATCTGTTTCTATCTCTCTGCCTTTCAAATAAAATGAAAACAAACTTTAAATGCAAGTGAATTTTAAAATATTAAAATATATGTCCTAATGGACTAAAGGAGGGAGGTTTCCACATTTGTCTTAAGTTTTTATGATCAATTAGAGTTAGACAGTTAACTCACGCTATCTGTCAAATAAATTAAAGAAAAAAAAGGTTTATGTACTGTTTTATGTGGGTGCTTCAAAGTTTTGGAAGACAGAATTAAAGGATTTTTTATTTTTTTTTAATTTTTTTTTTAATTTGACAGGTAGAGTTATAGACAGTGAGAGAAAGAGAGAGAGACAGAGAGAAAGGTCTTCCTTCCATTGGTTCACCCCCCAAATGGCCGCTATGGCCAGAACTACGCTGATCCGAAGCCAGGAGCCAGGTGCTTCCTCCTGGTCTCCCATGCGGGTGTAGGGTCCAAGCACTTGGGCCATCCTCCACTGCCCTCCTGGGCCACAGCAGAGAGCTGGATTGGAAGAGGAGCAACCGGGACTAGAACTCCGGGCCCATATGGGATACCGGTGCCACAGGCGGAGGATTAGCCTAGTGAGCCACGGCGCCGGCCAAGGATTTTTTTTTTTAAACATTTTAAAAAAAAATTTGACAGGTAGAATTATAGACAGTGAGAGAGAGACACAGAAAGGTCTTCCTTCCGTTGGTTCACTCCCCAAATGGCCGCCACAGCCGGTGCTGCGCCGATCTGAAGCCAGGAGCCAGGTGCTTCCTCCCGGTCTTTCATGCGGATGCAGGGGCCCAAGCACTTGGGCCATCCTCCACTGCCCTCCAGGGCCACAGCAGAAAGCTGGACTGGAAGAGGAGCAACTGGGACTAGAACCCGGCGTCCCACCGCAGGCGGAGGATTAACCAAATGAGCCACAGCGCCGGCCCCTAAAGGATGTTTACAAAAGGATATTTGCAAAGTTTGAAATCCATGCATAGCTTTTTCATAGTATGCACTTTCCATGAACTTTCTAACGCCCCTAGTATACCCTACTATATATGTTGTCTTTCAGTGATGATATAATTGACGATCTGGGCCCCTGCATCTGTGTGGGAGACCCAGAAGAAGCTCCTGGCTTCAAATCGGCGCAGCTCTGTCTGTTGCAGCCAACTGGGGAGTAACCAGCGAATGGAAAACCTCTCTTTTTCTCTGCCCCTCCTTCTCTCTCTGTGTAATTCTGACTTTCAAATAAATAAATAAATCTTTTTAAAAAACTGACAATCTTTCTTTGTTATGTTTTTCTTTTTTATTTTTTTTATTTTTGACAGGCAGAGTGGACAGTGAGAGAGAGAGACAGAGAGAAAGGTCTTCCTTTGCCGTTGGTTCACCCTCCAGTGGCTGCTGCGGCCGGCGCGCTGCAGCCGGCGCACCGCGCTGATCCGATGGCAGGAGCCAGGTGTTTCTCCTGGTCTCCCATGGGGTGCAGGGCCCAAGGACTTGGGCCATCCTCCACTGCACTCCCTGGCCACAGCAGAGAGCTGGCCTGGAAGAGGGCCACCGGGACAGAACCGGCGCCCCGACCGGGACTAGAACCCGGTGTGCCGGCGCCGCAAGGTGGAGGATTAGCCTAGTGAGCCGCGGCGCCGGCCGTGTTATGTTTTTCTATATGTACTGAATATTACACGCTGAGCAGGTGTTACTTTTACAACATCTCTATCTGTGCAACATCCCTCCCACTAATGCAAAAAAGACATTAAGGATAAAGAAAAAAGATGGGGGATTGGAGGGAGTAGGGTAAGGCAGCCGGATAGAAAAACAGTTATTATTCATAATCATATTCACTTTTACAAAATGTCCATAGTATGGGTAAAAGCTAATTTTCATAGAAGCAGAACATACCAAACACACAATAAAAAACAAATAGAACTGATGTTACATTCTTGAAAAATAACATAAAAATGATCTTTTTAAAGAAACTGCAATATTTGAAAAATAACTACCCTGTATTGGCTGCAGGTAACAGTCAGTATTAACTACACTGAAGTGTTTATCTTGTCATACCTTTATTTGTGGCAGAGCCATCTTTGATCTTCTGTTTCAGTGACTGCAGCACATTCTGCACTTGTTCAAAAATAAAGTCTACTTTTCCATGATCTTCCAGCTCCATCCAGAAAGTTTTTGCATCACCTAAAATAATAACAATATTCTAAGATTTTAACAGAAATAGATTGTAATATCCCCAAGGCATATGATACTGAAAAATCAACTTGGTTTCTAAATAAAGTCAAGATTCAATAGATCTATCACCTTCCTCTGAGGCAAAACATTTTCGTCATGTTGCCTAATAACTAGAAGCAATGAATATGATCTAAGTTCTGCTAATTTAAAAAATACATTGAGAGGCCAGTGTTGTGGTGCAGTTGGTTAAGCTACCGCCTGTGCTGCCAGCACGCCACTTGAGCACTGCCTGGAGTCCCTACTCCTCCCTTTCTGATCCAGTTCCCTGCTAATGCACCCAGGAAAGCAGCAGAAGTTGGCCCAAGTCCATGTGCCCCTGTATCCATATGGGAGACCTGGATGGAGTTCCAGGCTCCTGGCTTCAGCCTGGACCAGCCCCGGCTGTTGCAGCAATTCAAAATGTGAACCAGCGGTTAACGATCTTTCCCTGTCTCTCCCTCTAAATCTACCTTTTAAATAAATAAATAAATCTTTTAAAAATAAATAAATAATAAATTGAAAACTATTGACATTATTTCTCAACTCGAAAACAAAGCAAACACCTCCACTTTGGAGTAGTAGTGGTGTGTGTGTGTGTATATATATATATATATATGAAAATATATACGTATTTTTAAAGTTTTAGGGAATATTACCCTCCACTGAGTATAGAGGTAGATGGTTTCAGAATGAACTATCTCAATGACTGCTGAAATAACTGTCCAAGAAACTGTTTTTTTTTTTTTTAAAGATTTATTTATTTTATTTGAAAGGCAGTCACAGAGAGTCAGAGAGTCAGAGAGAAAGAGAGAGAGAGAGAGATAGGTTCATTCCCCAATTGGCCGCAATGGCCAGAGCTGTGCCGATTTGAAACCAGGAGCCAGGAACATGGGTACAAGAAAAAAAAAAAAAAATTGGGCCATCTTCTACTGCTTTCCCAGGCCACAATAGAGAGCTGGATCAGAAGTGGAGCAGCCGGGATTCAAACCAGCACCCAGATGGGATGCCAGCACTGTAGAACAGTGACTTTACCCACTCCACCAAAGTACTAGTGCCCAAACTGCTTTTTAAAGCATCTTTTAACTTAATTACACAAAGCAAAAGAATGTTTGATTTTTTTTTTTTTTTTTTTTTGACAGGCAGAGTGGACAGTGAGAGAGAGAGACAGAGAGAGAAAGGTCTTCCTTTGCCGCTGGTTCCCCTCCAATGGCCGCCGCTGCAGCCGGCGCACCGCGCTGATCCTGGCAGGAGCCAGGAGCCAGGTGCTTTTCCTGGTCTCCCATGGGGTGCAGGGCCCAAGCACCTGGGCCATCCTCCACTGCACTCCCTGGCCATAGCAGAGAGCTGGCCTGGAAGAGGGGCAACCGGGACAGAATCCGGCGCCCCAACCGGGACTAGAACCCGGTGTGCCGGCGCCGCAAGGTGGAGGATTAGCCTATTGAGCCACGGCGCCGGCCCAAGAATGTTTGATTTTTAACAGATAAAGTTATATAAATGATGTAAGAAAAAAGGGGCACAGAACAGAGAGGAGGCAGGGTACCAAATTTATTCAGAGAACATAAATCCACAGAGGTGGGTGACCAACTGCGAGCGTGCAGAGGGCCCAGACCCCACCAATCTGGGCCTTTTTATATCTTAGGTGGGCTGGGGGTGGGTATGGGAGTCAGTAGGTGTAGGTGTGCTTCTCCATGCAGGTTATTCAAGCTTGGCCCACTAGCTTCCAAACCTGGGGAAGAATGCAGGGGGAGGGGGTTGGGAACAATACAGGGTGTGAGACTGAACTGGTCTCTTGAAAGAAGGCAGGGGTAACAAGAATCTAAAATGGCTGAGGCTTACGTCCTTGTTCCATCAAATGACTCAATGTTTATGATACCCAGAAAGCTAACACTATTTAATCAAAATTTTCCTAGAAAAATAATCCTTTCAAAATTTAAAACAGAATTATGAGAAAGGCAATTAGAAGAAACTGACAAAAAGCTAGATCTCACACTTACATTTAAAAGTAACAAAAATATCCAAAATAGTTGCCATTTATAAAGATCACTTGTGAAGCCCTTCTGCATTAATGAACAGAGAGCCTGGTTCATCAAAAATATATTTTTCTTAATAAAAAATAAACCAGAACCTCCAACTTTGGCAAGGGAGGGCAAATGTTCACAGGGAAAGAGGCTTATATCCCAAAGGGGATCTCTGGGTAATTAGGGCTGCTGCTACCTCAGCAGCCTCAGGAGAGGTGCTGTTTCCCTGTTGACACTGTGACATCAAGTGCCCTGCACAAGATGAAGACTACTTATAAATCCCCACAGTATAGCTCAGACAAGATTTCAACATTCACAACAAATGCAACATGAGTGGACAAAAGGGACGTGCAATGGTACTGCAGAGGCAGGTAGGGGCCAGGACACGGAGCGCTTGTGGGCCACACTTACCAACTTACTGCATATGGTAGGCTATGGTAGGCTATTCAGAGGTCCAAACATCTTAAGATGTGATTAGCTATGTTTTGCAGAAAGGTAACTCAAGCAGTAGCAGAAATGAAGAATGATTTCTATCTTTCCACCTTAGGTTACCATATGAATAATAATAATAATACTATTCGTTGAGTACGGAACAAATGTAGAAGGACAGGTGGAAAATTCAAGTAGAAAGATGCGCATGGAGAAAACTGGATACATGGGCTTCAGAGTAAGATCTAGTCCAGAAATACAAAATTTGGAGTAAACAGCACATAAATGTTTGCTGAAGTAAAAGAACAGATGAAACTCCTTAGGGGAAATGTATAGAAGAAAGGGTTTTCTGTAGAACATCAACATAAGAGATCAACAAAAGGAAAAGAAACTATGGAGACTGAGAAAGTAAGGGGAAACCCAGGAGAGCAGAAAACTCTGGAGTCAAAGGAAAAACAGGGGTGAGTAACAATCTAGGCTTTGTTCAGAGGTATCCGAGTTTGAATCCCAGGACTTTCACTTAATAACCATGTGACACCATCTGTCAAAAGAAGAGTAACAGGAGTAGCTGCCTCATCAGCTGGGGCACGTGGAAAGCATATAATTTAACAGGGAAGATAGTCTTGGGAAAACAGAATCCATTTTTAACTGTAGAATTTCAAAGATCATTCAGCTTAGTGGGGTAAAAATTCGTGAAATAGAGATTTCCAAAGGTTCCTAAATCATTACATTTTTCACTAACAGATAACCTACTAACAGAAACCACTGTTTGTACAAAACTATTGTTCAAATCACTGAATGGATTATGGTCACCATGTTTCCTAACATGGATATGCACCAGCACCCCATGCTAGAAATTTACCTTTATTACAGGCGGGCATCTAGATGGGAATGATTCTGAAAGTATTTTAAAACAGCTTTCGGGGGGCCAGCACTGTGGTGTAGTGGGTAAAGCCGCTGCCTGCAGTGCTGGCATCCTATATGGGAGCCAGTTGGAGTCCCAGCTGCTCCACTTCTGATCCAGCTCTCTGCTATGGCCTGGGAAAGCAGTAGAAGATGGGCCAAGTCCTTGGGCCCCTGCACCCACGTGGGAGACCCAGAAGAAGGTCCTGGCTCCTGGCTTTGGATTGGAACAGCTCTGGCCATTGCGGCCATCTGGGGAGTGAAGCAGTGGATGGAAGAGCTCTCTCTCTCTCTCTCTGTGTAATCTGACTTTCAAATAAATAAATCTTTTTAAAAAATGGTATTTGTTCCCTCTTGATCACAGTTTTCTATGTTTTCTTGCTATGGAAACCTTTAACCACAGTTAAGATTAAGAAAAGAGGTAACAAATTTTCTGGTAAATGAAATTAACAGATCCAGTTTACAATGTCTGCACACAAGGAGACAACAAGTATCATAAGAACAAATATTTCAACTGTGGACTATAGATGGTTACTACAATGCAAACAAATGATAAAAATTGCCCTAAAGAGCATGCAGAGTACTTACAAGAAACATCTGCTGAGACCTGAGGAGTGTCCCGACTGAGCTAGTAATCCTATCCACCAGGTCAGTGTGACTTGGGTGAAGAGCATATGGTATCTGTTTTGTCTTAGTTATCTGGAGCAACCTTGTACAGTCCTTCATTCTTCATCTATAAATTCCTTATCTAGTGCCAGAAATGTTCTCTTTCTCAAAATTAATCACTAGCTTTCTTTTCAAACATTTGAAGATGTTTGTAAGCAATTATTTTATAAAAACAATAATCCCTGAGGTGGCATTGTGGTGCAGCACGTTAAGCTATTGCCTTCGATGCTAGCATACCATATGGGTACCAGTTCAAGACATGGATGCTCTACTTTTTCTCTTTAAAATATTTATTTATTTGAAAGTTAGAGAGAGAGAGAGAGAGAGAGAGAGAGAGAGAGAGAGGTCTTCCACCTGCTGGCTGCAATAGCCGGAGCTGCACCAATCTAAAGCCAGGAGCCAGGAGCCAGGAGCTTACTCTGGGTCTTCCCACATAGGTGCAGTGGCCCAAGGACTTGGGTCATCTTCCGATGCTTTCCCAGGCCATAGAAGAAAGCTGGATTGGAAGTGGAACAGCTGAGACTTGAACCAGTGCCCATATGGGATGCCTGCACTGCAGGCAGCGGCTTCACCTGCTAGACCACAGTACTGGCCCCTGCTGCTCTTCTGATCTGGTTTCCTGCTAATGTGGCAGGGAAAGCAGTGGAAGTTGGCCCAAATGCCTGGGCCCCTGCACCCACATGTGATTCCTGAAAGAAGCTCTTGGCTCTTGCTTGGCCATCCCTGGCTTGTTGGAGCCTTTTGGGTAGTGAACCAGAAGATGGAAGATCTCTCTCTATACAACTCTGCCTCTCCAAAGCCCTTGGACTTGTGTCTCCTGGGACAATATCATCTATATTTTGCCCTGAATAAACCTGTGTCTACCTTTTTACAGTGCCTATTTCTGTGGACACACCAGTAAGTTTCTTGCTCCTGATCTTTACTTATTTGTGCACTGTAACCATGCTCACACTT